ACATACTTTTCGTCTGATGGAGCTATTTATATGAGATAAGAAATTGTTTTCTTTATTATATCTAAGTCTAATCATATAACATTTTCCTATTCAGTTTTTCATGCTGATGCAGAATATAGTACTTTGGCAATACTCAGAAAAGAGCTGAAATAAAAATTTGGCAATTTTTGTAAGAAAAACAAAATTTAACATAAAAATATATTTTTCTCAGGTGTTCTCATTTCTTAAGATTTTCTCAGCCAGGCAGTAACTAAATCGAAATAAAAAGTACATATTCTTGACCAGCTTTTCTAGCTCTATCAAACCATATATAAATAAACGAGAAACAAAATTTACTCCAATTCTGCTTTAGCGGCACCTTAGACATTTTTAGAATCATTTCACTTCACTTTTCATCGATTGAAATATGCTTCAAAAGAACCGAAAGCAACTACTTGGAATATGTATTGAAAGCTCTTTTTAAAAAGAGAGTGCACTGAAACATTCTTTTAACTCTTGTTTATGAACTGGTGAGCTAATGTAAGAATCATTTGAACTAATTATCTTATAAGATAGGGCGTGTACACGATTTACTGTCCATTAATTGCTTCGAAGAAGATAACTTAATAAATGAGTAATGGTCTTGACAGTCAATCCCTTTTCTGAACAAAAAATTACATAAATGTTGAAAAACAAAAAAGTCACCAATGAGCAAAGTATTGAATAAATTTTCAGTTTAAAATGACGGATGCTCATCAAATTGAGGGGTAAGATAGTCATTAATATGACAAAATATATATATGAATCAAGCCTTGATATAAATTCAAAGAACATAATTTTCCTATCATACTCTTGCTAAAAATGTCTGCTATATTTACTGAATCTACCCCATGGTAAACGACAATTATGCTACCTCGATTATCGATATTCCATCATTCTTAAAAGCTGCTGTACTTAGATATTTTCAGCGTCTACCAAAAAGTTGAACGTGCATTCATCTTTTTGGGTTTATTTATTAATCAATTCCTTATTCTCTTTGTTATTTCCTCGTATATTTGCTCGAATTCTTTTTTTTTCTTGATTGCGATAAAAGATTTTCTGTTCATTTCTATTATTCGAAGCAATCAATGGACAGTCAATCCTCAGCAGCAAAATTTATACTTTCTGTAGAAAAAAAAACAATTTTCTAAGAAAAACAATCAACGGACAGTAAATCCTGTAAACCAATATAGGGATATCGAAATATGCATATACAATTCGATTCGGCGTTTAACTTTTCATAAACATATCAGTAAATAAAGAAAAGACTATATTAGAAAGAGCTTGTAATATATATTCTAGCATAGATGCTCTTTAACTTTTCAAATAGCATTGTTTGCATTGAAAATGAAGTAATAGAATTCGAGAAATTTGTACATTATTTTCAATTAAATTATTTTCACAGGGTAAACCATTAAGAGAAGCAGTTGGAGAAATACTTTACGGCGCTAGGTATAAAAAGTCAAAAATTATTTTCATGATATTGTTCATATTTTCATTCTTAGCTATATTGAATGGTTTGCCGAAGAAGCAAAACGTATTCATGGTGATGTTCTTCCATCAATATTACCTGATCGTCGTTCATTCGTAATTCGTCAACCTATTGGTGTTTGTGGTTTTATAACACCATGGAATTTTCCTAGTTCAATGATCTTACGTAAAGCAGGTGCAGCATTGGCTGCTGGTTGTACTGTTGTTGTTAAACCTGCTGAAGATACACCATATTCATGTCTAGCTGTTTGTGATGTAAACTAAAAACTTCTATTTAATCAAAGGAAACAATATGAACTCGTCTGTTTATTTAGTTAGCTAAAGAAGCAGGATTTCCGGATGGTTCATTTAACGTGATAACCAGTGCCCGTTCGGCTGAAGTGGGCAAATTTTTGTGTGAACATCCATTGATTTCAAAAATGTCATTTACTGGATCGAGTAATGATTTTGAGATTTAATCTATTTCGTTTATAATGTTTGATTGAATTTAGCCGAAGTTGGTAAAAAGATTATGGCTATGTGCGCATCAACAGTAAAAAAGATATCCTTGGAACTTGGTGGTAATGCACCATTTATAGTTTTTAATTCAGCTGATGTTAAACAGGCTGTACAAGGCGCTATGGCATCTAAATTCCGTGCTTCAGGGCAAACATGTGTATGTGCAAATCGAATTCTTGTACAAGAAGTAAGAATTGATGCATTTTTATATCATGAAAATATATCATATTATTTTCTAGGGAATCTACGATGAATTTATGAGTGAATTTATAAAGAAGACTAAAGAACAAGTAGTTGGTGATGGTCTTAATGAAAGCATAAATTTAGGACCTGTGATTAATCAAGATCAATATGAAAGAATTATTGATTTTATTTCAGACGCGAAAGAACGAGGAGCTAAAATTGTAACTGGTTAGAATTCAAGCATTTGAATTTATCTATTTCTATGAGTTATGTTCTCTGTTCGTAGGTGGAAAAGAAAAAAAAGGAAAAACTTCAGGCTTTTTTATTCAACCAGCAATTGTTACCGATGTTAATCTATCGATGCGAGTTGCTAAAGAAGAAATATTTGGACCCGTAGCTGCAATTATTAAGTAGGACAAAGCATCAAATGTTTCTTCAAATTTAATTCCTCATATTCATAGATTTAAAACTGAAGATGAAGCAGTTAACATCGCTAATTCAGTTGATGTTGGTTTAGCTGGTATATAAAGATTTATTTAAATTTCGATAAAGTATTATTGTATGGTTGTCTTGTAGCTTATGTCTTTAGTCAAGATATATCTCAAATTTGGCGCGTTGCTGAGCGAATTCAAACTGGTATGGTCGGTTTAAATGAAGGAATCATTTCATCTGTTGAAGCACCATTCGGTAATTAATCGAAATCTTTAATTCTGTTTTCATCTTCTTAATATTATATTTTCAAAAAAAAGGTGGAATCAAACAGAGTGGCTTTGGTCGTGAAGGGTCCAAATATGGCATAGATGATTATGTTAACATGAAATACATTTGTTTGGGTGGCTTAAAAGGTCTTGATCGAGGTTCGCAATAATCAAATAACTTATTCAAATTATAAGTGTTTGTAACACATCGAATATTTTTTTTTCTTCTCTATTTTTAATGTAGCACGTGCTAGTATAAATGATAATTTGATCTTTTAAAAATATCCATTATGTATTCCATTCTGTATTTATGCATAAATGTTTACTTGTTGGAAAGGACACTAATAACATGCTTCTGAATTTACTCGCTAGACTAAAAAAATATATATGTATAAACTCAAGTGCTTATCTAACAAGAAGTGTATAGTTGGAAATTACTATTTTTTTTCGTTCTGCTTCAACACCGGTACATCTAAATGATCAGTACAATCTTTCATGGAGTAAACAGAAAAGAAAAGAAAGAGAAAAATGTTATCCGTCCGTGACGCTGCTTTTAAAAATAGAAATACACAATATATTCTTCATCTTTGTGTTCCTGTTTTCTCTTTCACATTCACATTCACCATCCTTTGTTTATCATTCTCATTTTCATTCAACGACGAGGACAATCTATCATCATATTCTATCTGTTCTTTCTGTCCATCCAAGTAATCGTCTACCGTGTAACATCAGTATACCATGTCTCGAGGATTAAGATTAATTTGTTTAAATGATGACAATAATTTACAGAAGGATGGCTATGAACTATACACATCTGCACGTGGCTTTGATGACTTTGTAACAGCATGGCCACCATCAACTAATACAACAAGTATCGATGACAGCAAGTAAAAAAACAATTGATCTTCTTTTTCTATTAAAAAAAAACCAACTAATGATACTCAACAAAAATATGCATTTGTATATTTATCGATATTAGACCATGATGTCTCTGTGTATTTAAATTTTTTTCTCTTTCTGTAATTGTCTGATATGCTCAACAATCTGTTGTGTATGTGTGATTTGTTAAATGAAAAAAAAACCAAGAATTGTTGTTGTAAGTAAATACGTCAGATCGCATCGATCATAATGACACATATTTATGAGCAACGTTAGTTATATTATTTCCTAAATTTTTCTTTCTTTTTTTTTGTGTTATTCAACAGATCTGTGTGTGTAATGATTAAGTGTATCAGTTTTTTTTCTACTCTTTTTCTTTTTCTAAAACAATAAACCTAGTCAATTATATTGAACAAAAAAAAACATGGAAATATAATAAAATAAATAAAAAAAATAAAACTATATTCTTTCTCTATTCAGTAATTTTACGATGAAGTATTGACATAAAACTTTTCTTTCAGATTTTTATTTGTTCTTTTTGTTTTATAATAAATGTCTGATTTACCACCGGGTTGGGTTAAGAAAATTTCAAGTCGTACTGGTATGTGTTGTATTTTGACGACTAAAAATCATCATTAAGCTTGAATTTTGTATAGGAAAAGAATATTATATTGATCCAGTAACAAAAGAAAGTCAATGGGAACATCCAAGTGCCACGAATAATAAACCGTCCGGTGGACGAAGAGCAGCCAATGGAGATCAAGTACAAGTACTTCATATTCTTGTTAAACATACAGGTTCACGTAATCCAAAAAATTACAAAGGCGAAACAATCACTCGCAGTAAAGCTGACGCTCGTCTTAGACTTGATGGTTTGTATTCGATGAAGTTTTCTTTGACATAAATATTAATCTATTATATTTATTGATAGACATTATCAATGAATTAGAAAATGCTAAGGATCTTGAATCAACATTTCGTCGTATTGCGAAAGACAAAAGTGATTGTAGTTCAGGTCAACGAGGAGGTAGAGTATCGGTTTTCATCGTTCCATAAATTGAATTTTTATAATATCTGCCATTTTTCAAAGGTGATCTTGGTATGTTTGGCCATGGTGCAATGCAAAAAGCATTTGAAGAAGCTTCATTTGCATTAGATGTGAATGAAATGAGCAATGTCGTCGATTCAGATTCGGGTCTTCATGTTATTTTACGCATCGCCTAAAAAACAATAATGTTGTTGCTTTTTTTTAAATATTCCATCGTATCGCTCTTATTCTATTTGCTCATACTAGCCTTTTACATAAACATCGATTGTTAACAACAATGAATCAAGGTCAACCGTTTTCCATAAATATACTCAAGAGAAACTCTAGTAGCTCTTACACCTATATGCACATGATAATCTATGACCTTGGTAGATTACACAGTATGCCATTGACACAAACATATTTTCTTATGATAAAAAATGACATATTTCGGGGGGGTTTCTTGATAGGTTAGAACGAAATAAAGTGAAAAGAGTCGGAAATAAACGTAATTACAACCTCCACATATCTATATCGATACATTCATTCTGTTGTGTTGTATTATCAAAGCATTTTTTTAAGTCGTAGAAAAAGACTAAAATAGAACTATGTACGTGTTGAAAATAATAATGTCAGAAAAACCTAAGAAGAACTGGTTATACAGGAGCTAGATTGGCGCGTACAGTAAATATAATCAATGTACGGACAACTAAAACAAAAAAACTAAAGAGTTGTCTGAAAGTATAATAAATTGTTGTTCTCTCTTATACTTGCTGTTGATTACTACTGTTGTCGTATTATTCTATTATTAACTCATTGGTTTCTTGCCATATTTGTACCAATGCATTCCACCCACAAACATAGAAATAAGAGACAACATATATATATATATATGTATACCATCAATACAACTATAGGCAGTTGTTTGCAACGATAGAACAAGAAATATAGCAACAAAACGGATTTATAATAATGTTGTCTCAAGAAGTTCCTATTCATCGCACAAATAATAATTCAGTAGTTACTATCAGTAATAAAACTGATACTTTATTTGATGCATTTAATTATGCTCCTGGTCAAGATCGCAATATTCGTTGGTTAAGTCGTCCTAATCAAAAGATTGTACAAGAAAAATGTCTTAATCATACAGAAAAATTTCGTATTAGTTTTGATGCTGAAAATTTTCAACCAGAACAAATTAGAGTAAGTAATAAGAATCAAAATGTGAACAAAAATTTTCATAATACTTTTATTTTTTTCTAAAATAATTAGATCTTCATTGAAAATCGTGTATTAACAATCACAGGCGTTTATGAAGAACGTAGTGAAGGACGTTTTACACAAAAACAATTTGAAAAATCATTTGATGTACCCTATAATGCTGATATTGAAACTGTAGCATCATATATAACACCGGAACATATGCTTGTTGTAGAAATTCCTCTGAGTTCAAATATTCGCCGACCCTCAGCAGTACAAACGGATTTGTTAAATGTTAATAACGACCAAAATAATCAAAGACGTGTATCATTTTCATTAAATAAGTTCAATACACTAAACAATCAAGGTTTATTGTCTACAATAAATAATCAAGGTTCGTTGTCTACATTAAATAACCTATCACCGTTGCCTGCCGAAGGTCAACAAGTTCGCCGAACATCAATCACAAAAACAACAACAACCGCAACATCAACAGGGTCAACATCATTGCCACCAGAAATAGAAGAGTTACTTCGCAGTGCAGATATAACAACAGGTTCTACACAAACTCATAATGGACGTGTAACTGAACGACGTCTATCAAATACAGGCAGCAAACAAATAACAACGAATGAATCAAATTCATCATCGACAATAACATCAACGAATTCAAAATCAACAAATTCGACATACTCAAGTTCGGATAAGATTCAAATGAAACCTTTTTGTTTTTGCTTTATTGAAAAAATTTATTTTTGTTAGAATTAGCTAATTTACCAATTGAAATACCAGCCGAACTATTAGCTACTGGTGGTACAATAACAATTCAAAAACGAAAAGTTTCAGTGACAAAAACAACAGATCCAAACGCTAATAATCCTGTTCAAGTACCAATAACAAGTTCTGATAATACAAATTCAACATCATCGACAAATACACAAACATCATTATCTACAAGTACATCGGTACAGTCACAATTACCGCCAACGGTTTCTACAGAAAGACGTAGCTCACAAGTATATGAAAGAATGCCGTTTTCTCTATCTATCAGCCTTTGAATTTTGATTTTAGACCATTTCAAGTAATAATCAAAAGAAAACATTTACACTTGGAGAATTTCTTCAAAATACAACTTGGAATCCAACACTTGTTGATGGTTCAAATGGAAAGAAAATTCTTCATATGCGTTTAGCAATGAAACCTGGCACAAAAGCTGATCAATTAACAATTACACTGAATGGATATGATTTACGTATTGAGGTTCACAATTCAGTCCCATCTGGTAGCGGCCAAATGATAAGTATGTGCATTATTTTCAGTATTAATCTTAATCTATTCTCCATTTCGTTAAATACTTGTAGGCGAACAGAGTTATCATCAAATAACACTTTTTCCTTCATGTGAAATTAATCACCTGGCCACAGAAATCAAGAGCGATGGCTTTCTTCATATTCAAGTACCAATTAAATTATAATCCAGCTGCACATATATATCAGCATTGCTTTGCTTTTCATATCTAATCATGGTCCCCTTAGTGTTGATTAATCTAAATTCAGATTTATGAACAATAATGTCATTACCTTGAGAATTGTATATTTTAATGAAAACTAAAAAGAAATGCTTGAAAAGTCTCCAATTGGTTCACTTTATGTTTGCTACTATTTACTACTTATATGTGAAAGTTTATTCTAAGAAAATTTTAATGGGCATGACTTTTTTCAATAAATATCAATATATATATGATATAAACGTTGATATAGTATGTTCAAATTTACAAATCAGTGAAGCTAGAAAAATCTCTAGAAGCTATAAATTCAAAATTTCTCATCAAAAAATACGAAAGCTATTTTAGATTGTCGAGAAGATCAAATTTCGCAATTTTCAATCACAATAAATCTCTATTATTCTTAGCAGGGCGATGGTATTAGAGTTATTAATAATGCTATTTCTCTATAAATAGCATCCTTCTCTTGTGAGAGGTTCCAGAAGACAGTTTGATAGGAATATAAATTAGCGTTGTTTTTAGAAAAACTAGATGTTGACATATAGAACAAAATCTGTCAGCCATTCAAAGTTCATATATGCTATTTTCTATGTTATACATGAATCAAAATGATCTATAAGTACTACTACCTTCTTTGCAAGACACATACTATGTCAGATTGGACAAGCCCATTTTTTTTGCAGCCACTACATTCCACTTTGATTGAGTATTCTATTGATTTAGACATATTTTTCCCGTCTTTCAAATTAATGCAGCAAATTTGAGTTGGACACAACGTGAAGCAATATATACTGTAGCTCAGGCAACTACATAGATTCGACTTTGTTTTCTCAATATTTTAAAGACTACTTATGGATCTTTGCATATACTGAATAATTTTAGTACTATTTGAATTTATGTGATACCATCGAAATTCAAAACTTTTAGACTACAAGAAACAGAAGTGTACTTAACATAGTAGTGGAAACAATGATAACTGTCGAAAGTCACATTGAATATAAATTTTCTTGGAGTATTTCTTAGGATAAAATCCCTGACATACATGCTAAGTATTAGCAAAAGTACGGAAGTCCATTAAGGACTTTTATTATTCGATGACTTAATAACTGAATACACCGATCAATAAGCAATGAAAATGGCTTGATACGATTGTATGGTGAGTTTATAAAAGTCAAATGAGCAATTCTTTTGTTGACAGTTGTAATTATATGTTATCATAATCAAACTTTCACATTTGCCGGAAAGTTCGCTATCCTATTGTATCATTAATGATATGATTATTTAGACATATTCAGGCCATGAAATTGTCTATAAAGTAATTAATCTCGAACATTTTCAAATACGAAAAAAAAGTTCATTGTATGACTTTTATTATTCTCTCTAGTTATACTAATTGACTTCTGACTAATTAAATAGCATATCATGATCTAAATCTAAGAAAAATATGTTTGTTATTGCTCCTTCCAGATATTGACACAAAAAAATTAGACGCTATTTTCGGGGGAAAATTTGTCTGCATTGACCTATCCGCATTGCGTATTATATGGAGTACAAAAGAAGTCATTCCATTCACAAAAAGAGGACAATTTTTTTGTCAAGTCTTTTTGGATTTAAAATGAAAACATTTATTCGAAGAATGTTTCCTAGCAAACGAATCACTTTCATACCTATTGTTTACAAGAGTTTATATAACATCAAGATAGATGATATATTGGGACACTTGTTGTTGTTTTTTTTGTTATAATAATCGATCTTGATCGTAGGTTTACGAAAAGTAATTGTTCTATTGTTGTTCATAATTAGATTGAGCTTATTATTGAATTCTCATTTACAAATTCAATTATTACAATTGGGCTTATTTATAGTTCAATTATTCCTTTGATTATGATACTATAGATTCTATGTTGTTTTTCTGCATATTCAATTATGTTTTTGAATATTTTATAAGTTTTAATGCTCAAATTAATAGAGCATATGATGATGCTTATTCATCAGAAGTTCAAAAGACAATATCGAAATGTACAGGTCTACCCGATATGCCATCTTTCGGTCTTTTAAAATTTTTCATTGGCCAATGATACACGTATTGAAAAACGAACAGCTAATAGCCTCTTCGTCTTGCACATATGTTGGTGATGAATGTTGATATAACTGATTGAGTGAGTGTAACAAACAAGCTCGCTGACCCGTATATCATATTTGAATATTTGCGTCTCAATCGCTTATTAATTTTTTTTCTTCTGTTCAGATATTTATCTTCACTCATGAATTTGCCCATTTCTCGTTTAATACCTACGTTATCAACATGCTCGTCGTTCTTCACACGACGTCGTCTGGCTCATTTTACTTTTTTCAAAGATCAACCCGATTCATCATATGGTCAGTCACAATCTATCTGTTTTTTTTGTCTTGAAAAAATAAACATATGGAATAATATAATCTATGTTTTCTTAGGTCCAACAAAAGAAATGAATCTATGTCAGACGATTCAAAATACCATTGACACCACACTAGGAAATGATCATACTGCTAGTATGCTTGAGTTTTGATGATGATAACTATTATTATGATTAATTTATATTTGAGTTGTATTCGGCGAAGATGTTGCATTTGGTGGTGTTTTTCGATGTACAGCAGATTTAAGACAAAAATACGGTACATTGAACTGTTACAAGAAGTTAAATCATTCTATTTCTTTTCTTAAGGTGCTGATCGTGTATTTAACACTCCATTATGTGAACAAGGTATCATTGGTTTTGGAATAGGTGCAGCTGTTGCTGGAACAACAGCTATTGCTGAAATTCAATTTGCTGATTATATCTTTCCAGCATATGATCAAGTAATAGATAAATCATGAAAAAAAAAGAGATAAGATTGTATGCTTACGTATTTTTTATTAAGATTGTAAATGAAGCAGCTAAATATAGGTATCGTTCACAAAATTTATTTAATTGTGGGCGTCTGACAATCCGTGCGCCATGGGGTGCTGTTGGACATGGTGCACTCTATCATTCACAATCACCAGAAGCCCAATTTATGCATACACCTGGTATTAAAGTAAGTCATTTTCTCACTATATTCTTCCATGAGAAAATTGTTTTTCTTATTATTTAAGGTTGTCATTCCACGCGGAGCTATTCAAGCTAAAGGATTACTCTTGTCATGTATTAAAGACGATAATCCATGCATATTTTTTGAACCGAAAATTCTTTATCGATCTGCTAAAGAAGATGTACCACTTAAAGAATATACTATTCCTTTATCCAAAGCTGAAATTATATCCGAAGGTATATTGATTAAGATAAATCGTCGAAAGTATCTTATTTTGTTTTTGCTACATTAAACGTAGGTACTGATGTAACACTAGTTTCATGGGGAACACAAGTTCATGTACTTCGTGAAGTAGCACAATTGGCAGCTAAAGAAAATATATCTTGTGAAGTAATTGATTTACGAACTATTGTACCATGGGATGTTGATACAATTTGCCAATCCGTTAGTAAAACAGGTAGATTACTGATAAGTCATGAAGCACCGATCACTGGTGGTGTTGGCGCTGAAATTGCTGCAACTGTTTCGGTAATTATCTTAGAGATATTTTATTTAGATGAATATCAATATTTTAATTCATTCTTGTTTTTCTCTAGAGAGAGTGTTTCTTGAATCTTGAAGCACCCGTTGAACGTATTTGTGGTTATGATATTCATCCCATTCCACATGTATTCGAACCATTTTATTTTCCATCGAAATGGCGTTGTTTAGACGCGATAAAACGCATGATGAATTTTTAAAAAACAATACAATCGAGTTTTCTTTAATTTATTTTCTAACAGTGAGGATAAAAAAAATGATCGATCTCAACATCGATCTTATGTCCTATCATAAGTATATATTTTTCTAAAAATAAAAATAAACGAATTGATTAATTATTGCTTGGATTTGAATTAACTTCTTATGTGTTTGTGTTTCAGATTATTTCTAGCATTGCCTAATTAATTTATTCCTAGATATTTTTTTATGATTCTTCGAAGCCTCTGAGCAAGTATGATTACTTTTGATTCACATTATTATCTCAATGATATAAGAATTTCGTATAGTCTCATAGATGTGCACATCAGTTTACTCTTCACACGAACTTTATTTTTTAGAAATCTCGATTGTTTTTCTTCTAAAAGCACATCCTTAACCCACGTGTGTTTCATGTTTGTTTATTACTTCAGGCTAATTTATTGAAACTATTCTGTATATCAAGAAAATGATTAGTTGATAACTTGTAAACAATAAATAAAACAATACTCAGAATGATTTTTGCTGAATTGATACCTTGTTAAGAACTTAATAATGCTTTTGACCCTTTTTTCTTTTATGCGATCCTAAAGCAATAATTTTTCATATAGATGAACGCCTTTGAATATTGAACACTTCACAAGTCACAATAGGTTATCGCTGAAGACAAGTTTAACTATATTTAGAATATTAATAAAAACTATTCACGAACACTTGACGAATAAATACTATCAGATATTGACTATTTCTACAGAACGTTTTTTCTCGGTTGTTGATATGCCATAGTAGACCATATAATCTATATCTTTTATATAATGCACTCTTTCTAATCTATTAGAAAACTTGAAATACATAGTTATGCATATTAATAAGAGCAAATAAAATTTTGGGTTTTTTTATTAATCTGAAAATTTTTCAATCACTCAATAAGAATACCATGATGAAATAAAATTGTTATGACTGTTCTTAATTTCATACCAATAACGAATATTCTCTTGCAAGTCAGTTTATAAATATTTCGAGTAGTAAATATTAGTTAATGCGTCTATGAAGTTCGTTTAGCTCATATTTCCTGCGGAAAAAAACGACATTTGATAACTAATATTTTTTATCGGTAGTACCTTCATTGGATCATGAGATTATTTCACTATTTTAACTAAGAATATGAATACAACTAATAATACAAAACAAGATATTCTAGCTAAAATTTGTATAATAAAATCTCGTTTGTCATCGAAATGGAAATAATAGTCATTAGTTGAAACATTATTCAATCTTATATATATATATATGTGTGTGTGTGTGTCTTATTAGCAATGCAGTTTGCTCCTTTCTTTCTTTCTTTCTTTCTTTTTTTTTGGTTCTTCTCATTTGTTTAGTAATCGAAAAAAAATCTTATCCGCTCTTTTGTTGTTTGTAAGTTCTCATGCAGACAACTAAAAGGCAAAGAAGCAAAAAGGAGGATGCTTCCTCCTACTATTTTTCATCATTCTTCTTAGCTTTTTGGTTTCATTTAAATAATAATAATGTGCATTTTTATGTTGCCTCTAGTAGTCTTACATGTCGATTATTCTTTCCTTTTTCTTTTAATCATAACAAAATCTACAGTAATGATGATCTATGAATTAAGTGAGTTCGTATTATGTAATGGAATTTTTAAAAATATACCTTCAAGTATGTACTAGAAGTTGTATCTTTAAGTTAAATAGGCTGGATGAAGCCTGATATTATAAATTGTGTCCATCTAGTACATCTCCAATTGCTTTAGTGAACATTTTTTCTTTTTTTTCACATGGCTCCTTTCTTATGACCCGATGTAAAAAGGTGTTCGTTCTCCTCTTCCATATTTGGGTTGATTGGAATAAAAAAAAGTAACCACAACTCTTCGTCGTGCTTCTCTTTCTTTCTATTCAAATAGATTTTCTCCATCAAAACAGTGAGATAGATATTTCTCATTTCCTCTCTTTCTCTTTCATAGTACCAACCATGTATCAATGTGTATATGAATGTATAGCTATATACGTATGCATGTTTTTTTCTTCGTTTGTTAAATAGATGAGAGTTATGCATTCAATTTCTCTACTCTTGGTCTTTTGTTTTATTTTTGTTTTTGAAAATTCTTTCTCCTGTTAGGTTGTGAAACACGCAGTCATTGATAGAAGCCAGTCGAGCTGAGAATAAGAGTGAAATTACTATCTGTTGGTCACTGAACACGCAACATATATATATTCACTATATAATTCTCTTTTTCCGTTTCGTGCTTTTACTCGTATCATTCTCCTTTTCTATGTCGATGAAGTTGAAACCCGATTGGGATACTTGGCGAGATTAGTTTCATTCATCCATTCATTCATTTGGCCATGTTTCTTTTCTTTGTGATAAATAATAAAAATGGATCATGCTCGTCTGCCCCCAACATACATATATATATATATATGCAAGCTTTTCGTTTGTGCAAAAATGCAAATCTATTGGAATGGCATCATCATCATCATTAACGCTATTAGATAGAGAAACTGGCTTGAGAGAAGTGGAAGAAGAAAAAAAATCTACGAACAAACACTAGGCAAAGTAAAACGATAACTTATTATAATGTATTAAACTTAGAATATGCCGCGTTCTCGTTACTTTTTCATTCTTTTCTTTTTCTTTCAGCTTTTTTTCTTACTTTTACCTTAACTTACTTCTACACTTTATTTGTTTTTTTTTCTTTCGTTACTCTAAGCAGTAACACTATTCGTCACAAGTACCTCACGTGTTACTTAGTACACTCTCGTCTGTTCCTTTGGAAATGTCAAAGAAAAAGCTTTTCTTTACAATCGTTTATTTGACATCGCGTTAAGTATTAGCTAAAAAATTAATTCAATCAATTTATCACATGATTGACTATGAGTATGATAAGACACTATGTCGAAAACTATTATAATCAACAGTACCCTTCTTTCTTATTTACACCATACTCTAACATTACCCCGGAGGACTATGTAAACGAAAATATTCAGTCACTTTCAAAGCATATTTCATATAATCTGGTATTTCTCATTGTCTCACTTTCCTTTAGCCACTTCGTCACACGTATGTGAATGAATGATTACAATTGAATAAATAGTTGACGAAATGGAATATCAACATTATCAAACTACTTATGATAAAAACGATGTTGATGATAACGAATTCAACGTTCACGATGAAGATATTCTCGAAAAATCAATTAACGATAACACTGAAGAAGGTTTGAATGCTATTATAACGTGTTTAATGAAGAAGAAAAAAATGAAACGTTCATTTTCTATTTTAGATAATCATGAATTATCTAAAACCCCCGTTCCAGAAACAATGAATGATGAAGATAGCGATATTGATACCATAGAACATTCAAATTCACAAGTAATGACATAATGAAATAGATAAAAGTAGAATACGTTTTTTTTCTTTTTTTGACCTCAGCAAATAATGAAGATTTGATACTTTTCGGTTGCCGCTAGATAATTAATCTAATAAAGATAAAACTTATGTTTTTTTTTGAGAAAACTTTACGGTGGATGATAAAAGATTTCACATTGGTATTTGTCTTTCTGCTTTTGCTTGTGTTCATCAATTAGTGTCGATTCGATGAATATATTGGGCACATGCGCATGTCTACACATCTGTCTATTTCTATTTTCCTATTTTCTATTCATTTACGCCTTCTGTCCAGTTCTTTTCCTACTAGTCTATTGTCCTTGCTATTGGCACTATCATTAAACTTAAAATTAGAAAAAACCCGGAGAATGTCTTTCTCATTGACGCATGATAAAAAGAAATATATTCTACTTCCGTTGTCTGTTGTGTTCGTCATTTAGTATTGGGAGTGTGCAAAATATTGCTGATCTCCTATGTTAATCGCGTGTCATTCATTTTCTTCTCCATTTCGGTCTTCTTTTCTTCTTCTCTGTCTCTTTTTGACGCCGCCATCGTACTGTGTTCAATGACGATGAGATGAACTTTTTTTTTTAGCATATAAATTGGCGAAAAGAATTCATCGTCTGATTGATCCATCTCTTAGTTGACGTTGGTTCTATCTATTTCTTCAGCACTTGTTATTACTACTCGCATTCAAAGTTCCATCGCTTTCGATGTCTCGTACGAAGTTTTCTTTTTCTCTTTTTTATTTCTTCGCATCCTTTATATTGACAGATGGAGAGGATAGCCTACAAACATAGAAGAAAGAGAATGAAGATACAGAAATATAGAGAGAAAAGACGAAGAACAGCAACAACGGAGAAATAGAAAAGATGGGCATAAATGAGAAATGAGATTGATAGAGCGAACGAACTATATGTTTTGGCATTGAGACAGCAGTCTAGTATTACTTTCCATCCATTTTTTTTCTACTACAACGATAATACAAGCAACGATATCTCGAGATTCTATGACTCAATACAAATAAGCTATGCCTTCCTTATCATCGACTAGTTCTACTTCTACGGCGGGTACTAAATCTCGTCGAAAACATCATCATCATCGTCATGCTCAACGTCATGTAAGTTATTTATTTCTATGTATTCAAAGGATGATAGTTGAACTGTAATACTAAATTGTATGATCATGTAAAATAAATGAAAAAGAAAAGAAATAAAATTGATCTAGATGTAGTTAATTGAAAATACATCCATCGATTGTGTCTGTTCTTCAAGCAAAACAAGAACACAACAAGTGTATACAGTCAACCCATCCCTCTAATTGTATGTGTTGATCGTTGTCGACGCGTCGACCCACGAGTGTTCTCTCACTTCACCATCTATACATCTATTGTTAGTACTAAACTATGCGACTTCTGTCTGCGTAATTCTTATAATTGCTTCGTTGCTTTTGTTTGCTTTTTTTTCGATCAGACATTATTATAGTTCTATGAAAATGATAGACAGATGCATATGGAGGTAAAAGTTGATGAGCACAATCGAGCTAGGAACAAATGTCATCAATACCATTAACCATTCAAGGTTATTACGAGATCGATATTAACAATTGTGAAAAAAAGAACGATAGAAGAAATATCTAAGAAAAAGTATTTACCTAAGGGTAAACACCTGTTTCCTTTATTTGTTATACAGGTCGATGAAAATGCCCCGCGACAACAATCGTCTTCATCTGTAGTCGTTACAGCTTCAGACGATAATGAACCGTTATCGATGGCAACATCACCACTAACAACAACAGCAACAACAATAACAACAACAACAATAACTACAAAATCTGATGATAGAGCATCACCATTGAATCATCATACTCTCCGTAAGTAAAAGAAAGAAAGAAAGAAAGAAAGAAGAATATTTAATTAATAAATCGTTATTTGATAATTTCTTTTTTCTTCTTCTTCGTCATGATTTCGATTATATAATTAGTCAAATATTGCCTGTAATGCCTAATGTTAGTTTACCTAGAATGAAAAAAGAAAAGAAAAGAAAACGATTATTTTCATTTATTCAAATATATTCATTAGTATTTCATTTTCCCAAGAGAGGTCAATAGACGACGAAGAAGAAAAATTACTTTGATTATGAATCTAATCATATTATTATGATTTATGTATCAATGTTTTCTTTATTTTCAGGTGAAAATCAACAAATATCCGATCGTGCATCTCCTGTCAATGGTCCTGGTTTAGCTAAACCTATATCAATGGCATCGTCCTTAAGAGAACAACAACAACAACAATCTCGAATACTATCTACAAATAATCCCGCTGGAAAAAAACGTGTTGAGGCAGCATTAGAAAAAAATATCGAAACTATCGTTACACAAGTTCGTCGTACGACAACAAAACCGTCACAATTAACACAAAACGATCTTCAATTATTTGATAGTACACCATCAGCAAATAATACAAAAAATGGTCACCAATCACGTGAGACAACTCCATTTTCATCGCATACGATTCATAAACAAGCATCTTCATCGTCACGTGAGATGACACCTGATTCGATAAATACAGATTCAGCTAATGAAGATCAACAACAAACAATACGAAATGGACATCCTTATCAACACCCTGTTCATCATCCTTCATCGTCTACAAACATTGATTTAATACCACAGTCTATTCCACCGTATGGACAACAGCAATGGCCTCCTACTGTTTATCCATTTGCTCATCAACATCCTGGACTCTATTTACCCTATCTATCAGCATCGCCAGTAACAACATCAACTCCAACCAATGGCCTACCGCCATTTTATCCATCCTATGATCCTCTATTTATCGAGCAACATTATGGTCCACAAGGACTATCTGCTTTTTACAATCAACAACAACAACAGCAAGCTCGTCTTTTACAAGAGCATTCAACAATGTCAGGTACGCCAAATAGTCCGCCTTTATTTAGAGAATCGCAATCACTGACAGATCTATTGAATAATTCAATGAATAATAAAAAAATTTCCAATCTTATCAATCCACGATTAACAAATTTAAATGAACAACAACAACAAATGATCCTATCTCATCTTTATCTTAATCAAATAAATTCTCTTCCATATGTAACATTATACGATAGTTCACCGTCATCACATCAATTACGAACTAATGGAGATTCTGGTGAGAATAGGATAATTAATCGTTGTCGATGTTGTTTATATATGTCTTGATAGTTTCTACATAACGTTTTCTTCATTTTTTTTAGTTATTTATCTTATTTTTTTCTTGCCTTTTTTTTATTGATGTTTTAAAATACTGTTTAGATCATCTCTCACCAACTTTAACAACGCCAACAAAAGAACGTAGTGAACAGTCTCCAGTTGGTAGTGGTGCTGAATCAATAAAATCTTCAGACTCAATTTCAATGGGACATAGAAATAAAAAATCATCATCACAAACATTTCAACATCATCATAATATAAATGGAAGTTTATCGAAATTATCACCCGATCTATCGTCGGATGGTACAGGTACGAATGATGCCGACAGTATTATTTCATTGGAAAGTCAAAAATCAAATACAACAACAAGTATGCCTGTACTTGAAGATGGTTTATCTGATTCTGAAAATATCAGTGATGACGAACAACCATCTTCCACAACGTCAAAAATAAATGGTCGTCATCAATCGACTCAAAGCGATTTTCTATTCGATCCCAATCATTCATCATTGATAACATCATCACACAAACGACAATTCTCTAAATCAGCAGCAGCAGCAGCAGCAATAACAACCAATGGTCTTGAATCTCAATCAAAATCGTTTTATATTCGTCCACAACCACCATCCTCACTGGTTCAATCTATTCCAACAGTAAACCGTTCAGCATCATCCGTATCAATAAATGAATCTAATTGGCAGCAACCAAAATCTAATAATGATGAAACTTCTAGTGTTCAAACAGGTAAGAAAAACATTTCTTTTTCTTTTCAGTATTCTTTTTTCTAATATTCTTTTAACATAATCAATAGTAACACTAACACAAAAACCTTTAGATGAAGGAAAGACTAACGTGAAACCATTACCAAAAAAGGGTTTGTGCCGCATGTTCTGTATATTGATTTTTTTCCTCCCTCATTTTGCTTTGATATTGTCGTTAGTCACAAGCATGACATGATTTATTTGAATCGTTTTATTTTCTCTAAACTGATAATAGAAATAGGAAAATTTGTTTAGATTATGATACCGATGAAGAAACAGATAAATTACTGGGCGTTGAACATCGTATTCATGCAAAAAATCAAGCTGTTCGTGATGCTGTATGTTTCACTAATAAATATATTTATATCTACATATATATAACGTGAACCCTTTGTTTCATATAGGCTGTTACAAGACCAAATAAACCTAAAACACACGAAGGTAAATTTCAATTCTATTTGATTTAAACTAAAACCTTTTGTTTTTCTTTTTATTAAAAAAAACTGATTTTTAAACTTTTCCTTTTTCTCTTTTGTAAGTAATCAAAAAAAACTATATATTTGTTGTTGTTGTTGTTGTTGTTTTTTGTTAATGCACGTAGCTAGCAAATCAAAATAATTTTTAATCTTGAATATTTGATTATAATTCTTCGCTTTTTGTCTTTAGTTCTTATTCGTACAATTGTTGATCCAGAAAATTCTTCAGTTCTTATTGAAGGTGTTTTATTTCGTTGTCGTTATCTTGGTTCAACACAATTACTTGCCGAGGGAAATCCAACGAAAGCATCACGTATGATGCAAGCACAAGAAGCTGTTGGACGTATTAAAGCACCACAAGGTGAAAGTCAACCATCAGTTGAAGTTGATCTATTTATATCAACAGAAAAAATCATGGTTTTAAATACTGATTTACAAGATATTCTAATGGACCATTCCCTAAGATCAATATCCTATATTGGTAAGTAAATATTTTTTTCTTTTTATCATGGGAGAATTTTATCTGTAAAACAAATTGTCTATTGATGAATAATAAAAAATGATACATTTGATGACGAGATACATTGGTGCGCAAATGCGTGTTGGGTATAAGTGTTTATGAGTTGTAGATGACGATTTTATAACAGATAATGCGCTTATCTTACAACATAATTGGTCGATAAGGCGAAGTAAGATAATAATAATAATCTCAGCTAGTTCCCTTAATGCAGAACACTTACAAAGAATCATGTACGTGTAGATATTTTCTTCATCTATCCACATCTTCTTCATTTTTTACTATTAATAGTGTTTCTTTGTAAAAATTATCATAAAAATAGCACTAATGTGGATATTTCACCTTCGGTCGATCTAAAATCTATGCGAACGGCTATCCCAATGCTCAACATATGATATAATGATATTTGATACAATTGACTTTCTAAAAACAGTTCATTACATATCCTTTATGGTTTCTTAGTGATCAAAAATGTTTACACTCTAATATATACTTCGAATTCATAGAACTCTTCAGTTCTCATTAGTGAATTTCTAACGTTTTATTGGTCATTTTTCTTTTTCGATTCTTCTCAGCGGAAATGTAATTCATCCGATTGACTAGCTAACAAATTATGAATCTATTTTAGCTGATATTGGTGATCTTGTTGTACTGATGGCTAAACGCCGATATCTACAACAAACTGATGATAACAATAATGGGAACGAGGAATCAAATGAAAACAGTACACGTCGTGTTGTATCAATCAATCAGAAAATGATTTGTCATGTTTTTGAATCGGATGAAGTAAGTTTTAACTGAAAATTCAGGATAAACTCTTATCGATCACTTATAAGGCTCAATCAATTGCACAGTCAATTGGACAAGCATTTCAAGTTGCATATGTTGAATTTTTAAAAGCAAATGGTATTGATGATCCAAGTTTTACACGCGACATTGATTATCAAGAAGTACTGAATCAACAAGAAATTGGCAATGAAGAATTGGATAGATTTTCAAAAAAAGAATGTCAAAAAGAAGTAAAAGAAAAACATTCATTTTTGTGTTTGCTCTTCTACAATACAAGTTTCTTTTGTTTCTATGAAGGTTATTGTTCCCAAAGCAAAGAATGAATCACTTGGGATCGTTATTGTTGAAAGTGGTTGGGGTTCAATGTTACCTACAGTTGTTATAGCAAATATGATGCCAACTGGACCTGCAGCAAGGTTTGGTTTGTTTCTTGTTACTTAGTTATCAATATCAATTAATTAATTAATTATGAAAATATAGATTGTATTCGCGATTGGTAGTTTGTTAGAAAACTTCTTAAACCGCAGGGAAAATGATTAGAAATGAATTTTGTTTGACGCTTTCTTTTCATAGTAACAACTAAAACAATTTCCTGTCAAGAAAATTTCAGCGGAAGGTCTCTAGACAAATCGAAACTATCACAATCCATTTTGTGGTTCCTATAAAAAATTTTCTCTAAGATAGAAATTGTTTTTGCATACAACAAGATGCTATCGAGGTCTTCTTCTTCAAAAGAACGATAATCATTTTTCAATTGTCTCAAGAGACTGTTCTCTAGGAAATTATCGATGAATAGTGTCTGTCAAACTTTGAAATATTTCTTAGAATGACTGAATTTCGCTGAAGATCAACTCAAGAACATCTTATCTTTTCTGAAATATTTCCCTGATTGAATGAATTTGTTTGAAAACGTTTTTCAATAGAATAGGGAAAAAGTAGGTTTGAGAGTTGTTGATTTTCAAGAGATCTTCTATTGAAATTCATAACCGAGCGTTTAACAATGGAGCATCTTGATAGAAAAATCATTTCTAGCGATTGTAGTTAAGGAGAGAAATTATAATATTGTGCTTTTCAGCTGTATACATTTATTTTCGATGGTGTTCTACATTATAATACAAATCTGTTTGTTTTTGAATAGATGTGGACATTTAAATATTGGTGACCAAATTATATCAGTTAATGGAATAAGTTTGGTTGGCCTACCATTATCATCTTGTCAAGCACAAGTAAAAGTAATGAATATTTTGTTTTTATGATAAAAACGAAACTGTATGTCAATTGTATTCTAGAGTGTGAAACATCTTACAACTGTACGATTAGTAGTCGTTCCTTGTCCACCAGTCGTTGAAGTATTGATTCGACGGCCGGATACTAAATATCAAGTAAACATTTTCAATAATCATTAATTTCTTCTTATTACATCAAATATTTATTTTACATTCCTGTAGCTTGGCTTCAGTGTACAAAATGGCATCGTAAGACTATTGTTTATATTAACAATTAATAATCAATAATTTAATACGTTATTTTAGATATGTAGCCTGCTACGTGGTGGTATAGCAGAACGAGGTGGTGTACGTGTAGGTCATCGGATCATAGAAATAAATGGTCATAGTGTTGTAGCTACTCCGCATGAAAGAATAGTTAGCATGTTGTCGAATTCCGTTGGTGAAGTAAGTTAATTAATTTCCCATTCTTTAAAAGTATTTCACTTTATTTCTAGCTACGAATGAAGACCATGCCAACTCAAATGTATCGTCTACTAACTGGTCAAGAAAATCCGATATATATATAGAATAAAAGTCTTTCTTGTTGTTCATCGTTTGTTTTTCTTTTTTTTATTATCGAAAACCATGTTGCCATCATTTTTAGTATTCAATCTCAAATTATTTCATTGTTGTTCTTTAACTCCAAGAGTATATATGTGATATTGACTATGTTCTCTCTATCGCGCGCACACTCACACATACATAAATATATCTTTAAGCAGAGTGACTTCACTCACTATCGTATGAGTTTACTATATCTCTTTTGTTTGTACATAAAGTGTTTCTTTTTTTGAGACAAAAAAACTTCTGTCGAGCAACGAAATGTGTGAACAGTGTTTGGTGTATTTATTATTCTTACTTATTAAGTTCTAATTTTCCAACAACTCAAATGAATAATGATTGCCTCGTTCGTTCATTTTTTAAAATCTCTAGAACCTCACATACTCATGTTCGGCGTCCTTTCGTTTTTCTTCTTTGAATTGTATACCTCTTCTTTTCTTTTGGCTACTCCTCTTCTTTTCTTTTTTGTTATATATATATAGTCAGAATGATGCTGATGATAAAAAGAAATAATATTGCATAAGAATAATGTTTTATTGTTGTATTAATACTATGTATATATATATATATATATAATTATAATGGGTTTATAACCAACATAAAAAAAATTCATTTTAGAATATCGATGATGATCATGTTTAAAGTGAACTGATAATACGTGATTTACTAATGTTGCCTTGATAGACAGAATGAATTGATTAGCAACAGATATAGTTACCTTATTATAGTCTGATTTCTTCTTCTACTTTTAATATTCGCTGAAGAGCAATGTTCTGTTGTTTGCAAAAGCTTATTTAGGATAAATAAGAGTGATCAAAATGCATAGGGCAGTCAAGAAGTCATGGCAATGGTACTTTAGTTTCTTACAAGAAGCTTTGAAAAACTTTCTTTTTATTTAGTCTGAGAGAGAAAATAATACTCTATTTTTCTATGCTATTTGATTACACTTCAACTAATTTAATAGCAATAAATTTTCAGTAAGACCTTTTTCGTTATCATGTCTGCTGAGAGAAAACGGAAGAGACAGATTAGTTTCAGTCTCCTAATATATTGTATCAACAATCAAAATATACCATAAGATGTAGCGCGAAAAGCTCTACACTTTATGTAAGACCAATTATTTTCTAGTTACACTGTTTTGTTTTCAAAGCACACAAAGGTTTGAGGGACCGAACTTTGAGCATTGCGAAAACTGGTATCACAGAATTTCCGTTTTTGTGAAGACGGTTACAATGAGCTTTGTTGTGAAGATTGTAGAGCTCACCACGCTGCATCTTATGGTATATTTTGATTGTTGATGCGATGTATTCAGGCACTGAAAACTGCAATGCAAACTTACATTCAGTAGATATGGTAACGAAAAAAGTCTTACTGAAAATTTATTATTATTAAATTAGTTGAAATATAATCAAATCGCATAGAAAAATAGAGCATTCTTTTCTCAATCAGACTATATAAAAAGAAAGGCTTTTAAAGTTTCTTATAAGAAACTAAAGTACCATTGCCATTACTTTTTGACTGCCCTATGTACATTTTGTAGCTAATGCAAAGGGCTCTTTGTGATAAAAAGATGGTGATGTATACTCTTGCTGTTGAAGAGATAGAAGATCTACAATGAACTTGCCTGACAGCCTATAAATGGAGTTTCAAGTTTTTGGAGGGTCGTATTTTGGCTATAAAGCCAGAAGGAGAGTGTGGGTTGCGTCTTTCATTCACTCACACCCTTCCTTTCGATATAGCATTTCTATTTTTCCGACTTCAGGGAGAAAAGAATTTTGTAGCTCTGCTCTCAACGTTTTATGTGATTCATGCTTTTCCATGAAGCACCAGTCTGCGTCGATCGGAACATTTACATTACATGGCTCTCTCAAACTACAATATAGTGTCAAAATTATGCTATTGGCAAACCGAAGCGTATATCTGACGCTTTATATCATTGCTGCGAACAATTTGTGTTTCAAATCTGTGAAAGAACATTATTTTAATAGAAAATGAAATTCAATCATAAATAAAACATATTCCGTGCTTATCGTATTCTTGAGATTTGACAGATGTGACAATACCGAGTGTCTGTTCTTTGATAAAGACAGAATGTTGCCAGTGTTGTTTATTTTGCTGTCGATGTTGCGATCAGAAGAATATATTTTATTTTTCTTTCGTTTCATTTAATCATACAAAAAACGGTCAAATTGCATTTGCATGTCTCGGGCATGTCGACTAGAAATTCTATAAGAATGACATTTTTGCGCCAATGGAAGGAGCTCTTTTTTGAGAAGCGTCTAACTGATGACGTTCTGAATTCTCATGAAAATGAAGAGATCACACAGTACAGTGCCTATAATTATGAGACTGGATGTTTTTTCCAATCGATATGTTCATGTCAGCTCTTCGATGCACTGATCCAAACCGAAAGCAGCATTGCTTGCCGAATATCTACTTGTTGACTTTCTTTTGCGAACAATTCATACCGACTTAGTTCTTCAGAGCCAGCTACTGCCCTCTCACTAATATTTTATTTTGATTAACGAATCCACAATCGAATATACCGAATGGAATGATTGTCTCTGATGATGATGCACGATAAGTGAGATTGCAGCCAATGGGTCAATTCATCGTGCACAGGTGACACAACATCAATGTAGGATAATCTTCTAAATAGAATACCTGCAATGATCGAAGATTGGTCATTCCGTTGGCAAGTTCGAGTATACATGTTCGATTTTCGACGACAATCTGAAGAATCTCACATTGGACACCTGATGGCGAATGAATCAATATGCAGTACATCGTTGATTGTTGAAACGGCGCCCAAAATCACAACAACTGTGGGTCAGCAAATTGAGACAACGAATTGAACGACTGTTTATGTCCGATACCAGCTGTTGAACGGGCGATGACCACCAATACTCAATAGTCAACGAATAGAGACGAAATGCACGATCGATCATAGCTTGTAGCTGGAATGATTGTTGGAGTCAAGATATTGCACTGTCGCGGGGGTCAGCTCAAATCGTAGAATCTTGGATAAAAATTGATTGTCGAAAGGAAGCATCAAATGGAGGTCGTGAGCATTGCATAATTCATCATGAGCTAGAAACACGACGTTAAACGAAGTTCTGAAAAGATATTGCAGTTCTACTTTCACCAAAGTCATACCTACTGTGAACAGAACGCGTTGATTTTGTGAAATTATCAAAATGTTCATTATCACTACTGAAAAACTCAAAAGCATAGGTTAAAGTGTAGAGACGAATATAATTGTTCTTGTCAACTGGATTCCATCGATATCGAACAAACCATTGGCGATCATTTAACTAAGTGCAGGCTGGCATTTTCAAGAGTGAGATGCTTGATCGATGTCGACTCAACTGATGGTATAACAAATCGTTTATAGATTTTAATGTCAAGATAGCAATGTGTAAGTTTGGGTAGACTCCATATCTGATTGAGAGTGTCGAGAAGGATTGCGCGATTGCAATCCGAAGAACATGACACGAATTTGAGATGAATCGGATAAGGAAGATGACGACATTGCCGTATCACTTTGTTCATGGTTTCTAACGAGTAAATACGGTCGAGTGAAAGTGATCGTAAATGAAGAAATTTACAAAGAGCAAAACCATCCGTGAGAAAGAGAGCTCAATTTCTTGTAGAGTATCGTCGTTATTCGACAGACGAAGTGCACTTATTCGATCAGCAATCAACGGAAGATGTTGTTCACAGATAATGTCGAAGTTATATTTCGATAGTGACCGAAAAGCAAGGCCATGCATCTGGAAATGGACAATAAGAAGATTATCGAAGCGAGAGTTGAGATTGTGAAATGTACGAGGTAGGCGAACACCACTCAGATATTCGAAGAGATCAAGTAGCAGTTCGTTAGCTAGCAATTCTAGATTCATCTCTTCGGCCTCCAAGCTATGAAATATACAGAGAAAATGAATTGTGAATTGTGATGTGCTGCAAATATTTTCCGTTTATTTTCCCCTTCGAATAGGTCACGTAGGGAACAATGACACGTCTCGTTTCTATTATGCAAGGTCAATCATTCCGTTCGAATATTTCTAATCACACTATCGACGCGAGAGTCATTGCCGTCTATCCATCTATTCGGTTAGTGACCGCATTGCAACCGTCCGGAAAAGGATTGGATTTTCTCGCAACAGCTGGCACTGAGTATCGGGTAGTGCGCAGATTAACTGGTGGTCGGAATATTGCGTTAATATTTCCTGTGATTTAGATTGCTTCCATTTGAACGATTTTTCAAAAGATCTTTTGCTCGATTCTCTACGAAAATGTATAAGGAGTTTTGATTTCAAATATAAATATGAAAAATTGAGCTAATAATATTGTGAAGCTTCAATGTGTTCAACTTTGTAAATTTTCTTTGTAAAAACTTTAGTGATGTGAGATTATTTTCTTCGAGTGTACAAATCGAAAAATATGTTAGGCAATTTTTTTCGTACAATTCAGGGTGGGGTGGCTGTGGGCGTCAAACAACGATGAACTACCGGCGACCTCCCCTCCACACCCCCACACTTTTAATACTTGCTGAAGAACAATGTCCTATTGTTTACGATAGCTTATTTAGAATAAATAAGAGTGATCAAAATAAATATCCACAATTTTTGATCTACCAAAGAATTTACTAAACTGCGGAAAAAAATGAAAGATTAGTAAATCCTCACTAAAGCACTGATAAATCTAAAGAATAAGCAATACTATGAATGGATGAATGAAGTTAATAATTTCATCTTTGTTCAATATGAGAAAGTCATTTTTGAATCGATAGGTGTGAATTACAATGAGAAGAACTTGTAGAGATTAAAGAGAAAAAGTTAGATTTAAAATAACTTGAGCTACGCTTATTATTAAGCTTTAGATGTGAGAAAAAAAGCTTTTATGCATAATAAATATGTTGACCAGAAAATGATAGGCTATTTCTTATTATTCACAATATTAACATAAAAAGAAACAAAAAGAAAACTATATTAGCATAGAATCAGAAAATAGAATATCAATCTGACTGAAAAGTCAATATAGTGGAAGTTGATATACTATTCGAATATTAAAGTTAAAGTGTATCGATTTGATGATGAACATTATTATCGTTCTTTTTATTAGATGGTGGTACAAATTGAAGTGGTTTGAAATTAATTGGAATGGATGGCAGTGATGATGCACTATCTATTTGTTCGAATGTATTCAAAACGTCAAGTAGTGATTCGATAGCTGGTTTTAATTCAAGAGTTTCACGAAAGAGTACTTCTTTTCGCTCATACACATATAATCGTCGAGTTCGATCCTCAAGTAAAGCTTGTAATTGTTGACAATGTCGCTCAAGTAATTGATTTGATTTCAATAATTTTTGATATTCAGAATCTTTTCTATGTAGTTCGTGATTTTGTTCATTAATTATTTGTTCTAATTCTTGATTACGTTCATACAACATTTGTAAATGATTATTTGCTTCGCGTATAGTTGTACGTGTCAAACGATTTGACAATGATGAATCATCATCGGTATTTGTTGTACGTTTGTTTGTTCCTTCAGTCATCTTCTCACTATTATTTATCTGAAACTTAAATAAAGATATCTGCCAAGCGAACACATATTTGAGTGAAGTGACATAATCATTTCAAACATTACATGAACGGTAGAAATCTTGAAAAAAAAACAGTATATTCAAATTAGTTGCACGTATGGCATTGATTTATGCCTAATTACATTTGATAAAAGCCTTGTCATGTACAATCAATATGAGTTAGAAAATTTTCATAATTAATGAATGCACAAGAAGAAATACTATTCTGTCGCATATAGATTCATTTATAAATAGGGCTCCATGCGTTGCTAGTAGGACTAGTAGACTGGGGGAATCTAGTTGAAAATTTGGCAATACAAAAACGTCAGATTGCTTTCACTAAAGAAAATTTTGCAGACTAATGTTTGTTCTTTAGGTATAAAAGTAATGAGGCTGAGTTTTTAATTTCGATTGGCTCTGTGATGAACAAATAAGAATCTTGAAGAATGTCGAAATATCAAACCAAGCGAAAGAAGAGAGAAAACGAAACAAAATTGAATCAATCCATGAATAAAACTCTTTAAAATCAAATCAGATGTGTGATACCTTACTCATAGTTTACCTCATGCAGAAACGAACGATCATAACTTCACATCATTCAAAAACACATAGTAATCAATTTCTTGAATAGTAGTGATGCAAAAATTCATTTCGCCGGTTTCACTGCTTGCCTTACACTTGCAAATCCCTAGTGTCTTTTGTTCTTCATTTCGAATATTTAACGTGTGTGTGCTCATCATTTGTTGCTGATTCTTTTAGGTAATGGCACTTAAATTTCGATGTATATATATATGTATGTGTCCATATACGACCTTCTGTTGTAAATCATTTTTTCCTCTTTGTGTTATTTGCTGAATCTTACAAATGAGCATCATCGATATCGGAGTGGAGAATACTCAGTATGAGCGCGATTCTTTTTAAACATAAATAGAACTATGTGCAATTGAAGTAATAACACGAAAAGAAGTACCATTTAGTATCAATTTCGCTGATCCCATCTATGTACATATATATATATATATATATATGCATACTCATATAAATAGAAATATACTACCCTACGGCTGGTTTTGTTCATATAGAAGAGTCTATTCAAGGTAATGACCTTCTTATGGCACACTAAAATACTTTATTGAGAAGCTTTTCTTGTAAGTTTTGTCCTTTAATCATTTCCTCATTGTAAGATATAGTGACATTATTACTCAAACCAGGTTTCTTCTCGTCAAAGAATGGAATGAATCCATATATGTTTATGTATCACTTGTGTTTCATATTCTGTTTTTTTCACTTACATTAGTGTTGTCATTGATGTAGTATAAAAGAAAATGTTGCTCAAAATTGCTTTTATCGTCCATTTTTAGGAACAGTTACAACAGGTGAATCTTTTTTCTTCTTTATTTTTTACATCTCTCTCTTTCTCGGTTTCTTGCTCTTGCGCCTCTCTGTCTTGATATAGGATCTGATCGATTTTTCTTTCGCTTGTCGCCTTTCACATTTGTGTTCTCTCTGTCTTTCTCTTGCGTTGCGTTTCTTTTTTCATTCGACAAGGAAGAGCTATATATGCACGAGTTTATTGGCAAGTGATGCTCTACTATATGTTTCTTTTTTTCTTTTTATTTTGTACAGTCAATGAACAGTGTTCGCTATTAAAAGGTAATTACTGTTCATAATTAATCATCAAAATGATAAAAACATCAACTCTTACTAAAACAATTTTTAATCATCAACCTCATTCTCAACTGATTACTTTTCATACACCATCAACAACTTCTTCATCAGGATCAACAAGTGAAACAGATCCGTCATCATTAAGTTCTTCTTATAAAAGTAATAGTGGTACCAATGGCATCAATGTCAATGACGATATAAATTCCATTCCACAGGATAAATCAACCTTTGTATTGGCAGCTGTAATTGATAAACTCAAACGTGAATTAACAACAGTAAAACAAGCAAAGAGCCAGTTAGAAACACTCTATAAAGTAAGTTTGATAACTTAAGATTCAAGTACCAACGTTAAAATAGTTTTTATTCCTGTTCTCTTAATTTTGTTTCTTATCATTTTGTTAGCAATGCAGGAAAAAACCTTAGAAATCGATATGTACATATACATGTATTGATCTTTCTTTTCCTTCTTGTATACCGTTTTTCAAATATTTATGTGTAAATAGTTCCTATTCACAAGTGTAAGAATACGTATTGATTAATCTAACGGTTTATCATTCAGATTACAAAGAACTTTATATGCATGTATAGAAATATCGTTTTGTTTCTTTCAAGTTGACGTATAGACATTACATAAATGAAAAATTACCTTTATGGTATTTAGTATTTTTTTTATATTAATGTTTTATTTGCTTTAGGTAAAATGCAAATCTGATCTTGAAAAAGCAGCTAAAATAACCAAGCTTCGTCTACAATATGAACATGAATTGAGCACATTTTGTAAACAGGACCAACAAGATCTTGTAAGATATTTACAACGCCAGTTGATTTCACGTGATCAGCGTATTGCTGAACAATCGTATGATATTGAAAATCTGAAAAACTTGTCTGTACCTGATAGTATTGATAATAATAATAATAATAATAATAATCCAAATATTTATAAAAAGATTGCATCCATACAAATTTTAAGAAGCAGTGATCTTGATGTTATTACTTTAACAGTAAGTCAAATAAAATTTTCTGTTTGTATTTTCTTTTACATATTCTCCGTTTGCATTGTGCCTGTTTCTCTCTCTCTCAATGGGTTGTCTTCTGATATCTAAATTTTCTACTGAATCATAGATGATTCACATAAGATATAGTTCGCGATCTGACATCAATTCTTTTTCTATTCTCTCATATTCGTTCATTTAATCGTAGTTTCATAAGTATAACTTTATTTGCATATACCATATCGCTACTGACTTTTTACGTAGAATTCAAGGCTAAACTTGAAATATTAGTTAAAAACTAAATAATTAATGACGATCAAAAACAGAGCGATAAAAATCCGCTGATAGCGGCGGTGATGGTAGTGAATTGAAATCTGCTAGCAGAGAGAACACAGTCAATAAAAGTGATACTACTAGTGGCAATAAACCAAACTTGAAAAATGACGAACAAGATAACAGTAATAGCAAATTTGGTGATACAAAGCAAGACTCTTCAAACGGAGTTGTTGATAGGGACAGTTCGAGAATTAATATACAGAGCGACAACAGTAAAATGTTTGGCAATACAAAGACAGGCGTGTTAATTAGTGATAAAAGTAGTTCGAAAGATGAACAATGTAGTTGTGAATGAGATCATGACGATTCAGAACAGGGAGAAAACGTTCTCAAAACAAAATTTGTTCAAGGGCATAGTGCTGAAAAAGATGGTGGCAATAAACAAAGATCTAATATCATGTGGAGTGGTAATAAACTTTGGGTTTATTTGAAAGATCCAAAAAAGTATATCCTTGGAACAAGAATGATTTTCCCCGGGCTTCAGAAAGATGATGAATGAAAAGATATATTAGTTTATTTTAAAAAAATAGTCGAGTGATTAACAAGAATATGCATTAAACGAACATTTTTCTCTTGATCTTGAATTTTATTGATCATATTTTTTTACTCTAGTTTTTATACGACTTTTCTGTCTTTTTCTGTTGTTTTTTTTTGTTACATTTATTCAAGCTAGACTTATATATTTAGTGTTAGAGTGATTTTCTTTCTTTTGTTTCGAATCGAGTTTACATAAATATGTCAATGTGTTTGCATTCAGAGAGAAAGAAAAACTTATTCTGTAACATGAACAAAACCCAAGACTTAAAAAAATAATTCTCATTTTACTTATAAAAATATAATATTTACTACATCTCTGATTGCAGATACCTAACGAATGTAATTTTAGTAGTTGTTTTTACACTGCCATCCGTCTGTATTTAACATAATTTTCTTCTAGTTGAATTATTTCTTTTTTTCTTGCACAATAAAAATGAGCAGCTTTCAAGTGATTGTCATCGACGACTTATAGAACAATGAGAGACTACATGCTTTGGGATTTTCTTTATATATACTTGTTAATTCTATTTTCGGAGTTGATCAGACATAATTATTCTTATTTTCTTTTATTCATATAAAATTAGAATCAACATGCGTATGATAAACAAGAACAAGCATTAGAAAGACAAAATAATATTGAATTGCATGATCGTGTAAAAAGATTTGATCGACAAATAGAAATACTAAAACAAGATCAACCGGTATTAAGAAAATAAAAAATTTAATTTTACAGCAAATATTAATATATCTTTTCTTTAACTATTTAGAAAGATCATGACAAAGAACTAATTAAGCGAGCTTTAGCTAAACAAGCCATCGAATATAAAAAAGTATTAAAACAAAAAAATGATGAACTCGAAGAATTAAATCTTCGACTTGAAAAATTATCAAAAGTAACGAAGAGAAAATAATATTTGAAGAAAGAGAAAAAAAAGAACGTTTATTCTTTTTCTAGTCGAATGTTTTTGAATCAGCATTACGTCAAGCTAATATAGAAAAATTATATCTTGAAAGACGCCTTCTAGCTTCAACATTATCATCATCATCATCGTCGTTGAACTCGAAAGCCAATGCACGGGTAAGTCGTCAAGCTCTAAGATTTGACATAGGACGGAAACTGCGTTTTTTTCTTCTACTTTATTAGTTTTCTCTTAGGTAAAAATATGTCTTCTTCCTTACTATTGGCGCTAGATTCATTTCCGTAGTAGAAGTATGAAAGAAACAAAAACAAGTCCTCTTTTTAGTGTGTATATGAAACAAGAAAATTTTCTTTTTCGTCGGATCAATTCCGTATTCTTTTTTATGTGTTAGTTTTTTCTATTTTTGCCTTTTCTTTTTTTCTGATTATCTTCGTCGTATTGGAAGAAAGACATGTGGAAAGAAAGAAAGAAAGAAAGCAAGGAAAAAGTGCAAATAGAAAGACATCTTCATCGGCATGCGCTCATACGAACGTAGGCGTTCAACCGCTGAGCACTTTTTATGGCTTTGCCGTTCACATTCTGTTCTGTTTTTTATTCCGTATTTTTTTCTATTTTTTTTCTTTTCTCTTATTGTTAGAAGAAGAAGAAGGAGAAAAAAAAGCTAGAACATTTTTTTTATCACATCACTACCGTTTTCAGAAGACTCTTCTCTTTCCCATAGATAATCATATTAGTTATTTACGCTCGCGTGTATGCGTGTGTGTGTGTGTATGTATGTATGCATGTATGTAGCAGTCTCTAAGTTAGACGGACGGCGAGACTAAAGCAAACGATAGGAAACAGGGAGAGAGAGAGCACAGATTGATTAGTTTGACCATAAAATTAAATAAAAAAACAACAATTATCATGACGAGTTCGTCATCACCTCGTTTTACTGGTTTCATTCGTGATGTTCGTGCATCACAAAAGAATCTACAACCAATATTATCGCAGGTTAGATAATCGATAAATATATTATTCTCATTTTAATGTTTTGTTTATTCCATGATTTCCATTCTTCCCTCTAGCCTTCTACTGCTCATAGTTCTTCAAATATTAATGAACAGCAACCATATACAACACCAACAAGTACTCGTTCAAGAAATAATTCTGCAACATCAAATTCTATTGATCCTTTTCATTATCAAGCATTGCAAGACACGAATGAAGCGCTAAAAAGTGAAGTGCATCGTTTGGCATGCGCTGATAAAGATAACACCACAAAACTCAAATTACAGGTTTTTAGAATCTCGTTTTGGCTTATTTTATTTTCTTATTACTTCAAAGAGAGTGAATTCTATCTTCATTTGCTAAGAATAGGAACGGCACGGTTATCTAAAGTCCTTCTATTACTTCTGCTTTGTGCCAGTTATATAAGCCCATTTTCCTTTAACTAAAAATTACAGATGACGAATAAGACATGAAAGACTATTCTTTATGTTTTAGCTTGAAAAATATACTGAGCTTGATGAAGCATATAAGCAACTTCAAGATAAAAATACACATCTAGCTGATATTGAAGATCATTTTAATCAATTACAAAACATACATAAAGATGAAAAATCATCATATGAATATTGTGTACGAGAAAATGAACAATTAAAAAACCAAAATGAACATTTATTAAATGAATTAGCACGTTTAACACAAGTAGAGAATCGTGACCGTACACGTTCCATTGAACAAGCTGATTTACGTCGTCAATATGATGAAATTTCAATTCAATATAATGAATTAAAACAAAACTATCGAGAAAATCAACTTAGCTATGAAAATGATATCAAACATTTGAATGATGAAACTTTAAAATTTCGTTTAGAAAATGAGCAGTTACATTCGGCAAATGATTTATTACGTGATGAGAGAAATCAAATGAAAGAGTCACATGAGACAATATTAAAAAGACGTTTAGATGAAATAAAATATTTACAAAGTGAAAATCGAGATTTACAAATGACACGACAAAAATACAATGAAGAACGAGAAACATTTCAAGCAATTGATTTAAGAAAAACACAATTAGAAAATGATCTATTGACGATGCATGCTGTAGAAGATCGTTGTCAAGACTTACAAACTACTGTCGAACGATTGGAATCGGAAGTTCAACTTAGTGTAAGTCCTTTGTACACCATAAGTACATAGCATACAAAAGACGGAAAAAAAGTGTCCAAGGGGGAGGGAGGCAGGGGTGGAGGTTAGCGAATGAAATTCACAAAAGAAAGAAATGTGGATCTTGTTTCCGGAACTGAGAAAGCAAGCTTGCTTGTCCGTCTTATTCAATGTTAGCGAAGCGAAGACGGCCGGTCTATTCACAATTGCATGTTGAGGAAAACCATCCTCTTTTTCCTTTTTTTTGTTTTTTTATTCTATTCCATGCCTTTTTCTTTCTTTCTGCTAACGTCAACAGCAGAAAAAATTGGACGAACATGCAATGGCACTAACAAATCTGAATAAAGAAAATGCTCGCCTTGTAAGTACTTGAACTACACTATTCATCTTTTTCTTTCTTTCTCGTCTTACTTTGTCTCTGTCTCTGTCTCTGTCTCTGTCTCTGTCTGTCTCTCTCTCTCACTCTATTTCTCTTGTTTCTATTCTCGAGATACATTTTTTTCCACCCTTTAGATCAAAGAGCTCGAGAGTGCCTCAATGCTAAACACGCAAATGCGCACTGAAATTAGCAATGCAACAAATACTAATGAACGGGTTAGTAATGAGTCTGTGCATTAATAAACTGAAAAACAGTCATACAGAAAAAAAAACTAATAAATATTTAAATATATAAGGAAGACCATGAAATGTTATTTCGTCTTCTTTTTTGTTTTGTTTATCAACTAAATAGTTAACACAAGAATGTGATCGATATCGAACAAATTCACTTACGAAATCTGAAGAATACGATGCAAAACGACGCGAAAATGAACAACTCATACAAAAAGTTCACGAATTAGAATCAACATTGAAATCTCTTTATGATACAAGTGATTTACAAAAGCAACTAAACGTTGAAAATGAGGTGAATAGATTAGAATTAAAAAGAAAGCAAGATGATTTTGAACAATTTCAAAAAGTTAGTTTCCTTTTTTAAAAAAAAAGGAACAATTGTTTTGCAATTTCATGAATATTTTTGTTTTTTTTCTCTAGATGCATGATGTAACTAAACAAGAAAATCAAGAAACAATTCATTTACTTGAAGTATGATTTGATTCTTCGTTTCATTAAGTTCTTAAGTTTTCTTTGTGGTTTCTGTCCTCAGGAAAAAATTCACGATCTTGAGCGTAAAACTGAATTACAATCATTGAAGCATGAAGAAATTCTTCTAGAATTTGAGTCACTAAAAGCAAGACGTGATCGAATTTTACCTTCATCAACTGGTACAATACTTTCCAATAGTCATTCGAATGCATATCCATTAACACATCATTGGCCAACTCCAACAATGGTTGATTCCCAAACATCACCTACTGAAGATGTCATTCCTCCTATTCTATCACCATCCATTCAACAACGACCTTTATTGAAATCAACTGCTAGTCAATCCACAGCAGTAAATGAAAATCATGAAACGAAACAAAAACCTTTTACAAGCAATCAAACAGCTCAAATAGTTGTGGCCAAATATTCTTATGAACCCTTGCAATGTTCTCCGAATGATCATCCAGAAGTTGAATTACCATTAACTGTAGGAGAATACTATCTTATTTATGGTGATGTTGATGAAGTAAATCGTTTTCTTTTCGTATTAAACAGGTGAAATATAATGAATGAGTTTTTTTCTATACTAAATCATAGGACGGCTTTTATGATGGAAGAAATCTAGAAGGTCGTTATGGTTTAATACCATCAAATTTCATTGAAGCAATTACAAATTCTAATGATTTACCAGAGACTGTTCGACATATAATTCAACGATTAATAGGAAAAGTATTTTCCGGTAAAGAAAAAATACAATAGTTTCTTTTTATTTCTTGTTGTATTGTTATTATTTGGTTTATTGTTTAGAAGAGCCAATGACACCTCGTCGTGATCAACCATTAAGTATTGATTCTGGTGCGTTTCTTTCAAACATTTCTGCTACTACTCCAGCAACTTATCGAAAGCAACGTAATAGAAATTAGAAATTTTTGTTTTCATGAAAAGCATAATCTATTTTAGTAGCTTCTACACAAAATGGAAATCCATCAGATATTTTAACAGCAAATGGTCTTTCATTTGGTAAACATGGTAAGTAGATATTTGCGACTTTGAAAGGCAAGTAGCCTTTATCGTTTTATTCTTTTATTTTTAGTTCCTTGTCCGACGAATCTTCGCGTTGAAAAATATCTCACCACCAGTATATTAATCGCATGGAATCCTCCATCAATAGCAATGACACAAATACTTGGCTATCAAATTTTACTTGATCATTCATTATATACAACAATATGTGCCAATGAACGTACACGTGCGTTAATTGAAAATATAAATATAAATGAAAAATGTCATCGTATAAGTATTCGCACAATAACTCAACATGGCCTATCGCGTGATCAAGAATGTACATTATTATTAACCATGTCCGCTACAAATGGAAATCTAAATGATTTATCGTATGCTCCAAGTGACTTACGTGTTGATCGAATTAATCAGACATCGGCAGTTGTTTCATGGTGGCCAGCGTCAAATGATATTGTTCATAAATTATTCGTTAATGATATTGAAGTTCAAACACTTAAAGCTGGAGTTTATCGTTTTAAATTGTCCGGTTTGTTACCGAATACTATACATAAAGTAACAATTAAAGCTAAACCAAACAGTATAGCAAATACTCAACAACTATTAGCAGCTTCAATCGAATTCTGTACAACAGCGTTTGGTAAATTTTTATTCAGTTTTTTTTTCAATGAGAAACTTTCATTTTATTTATATTTTATTTTTCGTGTTAGATGAATCTATCGAACCACCTAAACGAGTACAAGCTATAGGTGGTCCACAATCAAATACTTTACTTGTATCATGGGAACAACCATTATCAACGACAACAATTATTCGCGGCTATCGAGTTCTTGTCGATGGACGACAAATGCACGATATCATAAATCCATTAAGTAAGAAATTCAAAGTAAAATTATCTTAGATTGAGCCATTTGATTATAGATGATCATACTGTTATTAATATCAATGCATTACGTCAAGGAAGATTTTTAACTGTTCGAGCATTAACAGAAAATGATGGCGAATCACATGATTCAATTCCGGTTGACATTGATGAGATATTGAAAAAAGTATGAAAGTATTCACTTTACTGCCTATTTTCTTGTTACTAATAAGTCATTTATTTAATTAGTTGGATATGGATATTCCATCAACGTCAGTACCTGTTCTTCCAGAAGAAACTTTTGATAGAGAATCTATGCCGCTTACTGCATCTTCTTCATTAACATTAAGAACAACATCAGATGATGAACTAACAAATTCTGGACCATTACCACTTCCAACTCCACCTTCTATCGTGGAAACTCAACAAAAGGTTTTTAATTTTGCCTTTTTCTTCTCCCTATTAATTAGCATAGTCTTCAAACATATCTTACCGGGCATTAATTCGATATGCTTCAGCTTTTTAATAGATTCTATAAACAATTTAAAATTAAAATTGGAATAAAGAAATGCTTTTTGCTACCCTATTCCAAGGAAATTGAGTCGATCGGTACATTTTTTAAATCTAACGTCTCAATGTCCGGAGGCTAAAAGTAACGGAGGATGACGAAAGGGAAATAGTTTTAACACTGAGAAGCCTCAAGCTTTCCAAGAGCATTTTTTCTGACTGAGAATCATGAAATTGACTTGAAGCCGGAAGAAACTTCTCGTATTTTGTTTGTAATAAATCTTATAGAAATGATATCTTCAAAATCTTTCTTGTATATAATTAGCGTAATTATATTCAAAAAAAAATGTATTCTATGATATTTCTTGAGAATGCATTTCTACATTGTTCTTCAAGCTTTGTTGCAACTAATTATTATCTCAATGTGAAGCACTATGTAATTTCTTTTTAGTAGTTGCTGCATGATCAAAGTAGAGAAAGATTAAATTTACACTTGATCAAATTGTTTTCATTTCTAGTGTATCACCTATATGCATAGTATATTTATATATATATATATATTTGTCAAATTTATTTTATAGTCGCTTTTACGATCACAAGAAATATTATCTTCGTCAACAGCCTCACCTCCGTCGATAAAACAAAATCCTATAACTATTGCACAACCGTCATCAAGTATAGTACCACCATCGCCAATAAAATCTACAACTAATCCTGATAAAATCCGTCCAATAACAAAGAATTCTGCACGACCAGCTGGAATCACACGAATTCAATCTCCATTAAGATATGCATCGACAATGTCATCAGCCAGCAATGATGTACCACAGATTGAAATTAATTCTCCGAGTCCAAATAGTCCTGTAATAGCAACAACAGCTGCTAAATCAAAAGCTGATAATCATGATCAATTTGAACAATCATCACAAGGCTTTGGCTATGATGCTTATATGAAACAACCCGATGATTCTGCGTCACATATTAAACCTAGTAATACTCAAAGGAAACCATCAAAACCATCACCAACTATGTCATCTCTTCAACAGCGTCCACATCACGATCCAAAACGAGACCCAACGATAATAACTATATCAGATTCACTGGCACATGATAGCCCACCAATGAATAAATCAAAAATTAAATCGCTACGGCATACATCAACATCATCAGAAGAACAGTATGTTGCACCACCAACACCTATGAAAACTGTGAAATTAAAACAACAACAAAATCCACCACCAATTGCTTCAGTATTCACTAGTCATTTGAATAATAAAGCAAATAATCCGCCACGTTTATTTATTGCTTTGTTTGATTATGATCCAAATGCTATGTCACCTAATAAAGATAATGAAGAAGAATTGCCATTCAAAGAAGGACAATTGATTCGGGTATGATTTTATTTTTTACAGATTTTTTCCATCTATTATTCTTGTTTTATATTTAGATTTATGGTGATCAAGATGCCGATGGCTTTTTTATAGGACAAACAGAGAATGGTCGCACCGGTTATGTTCCGAGCAATATGGTATCAGAAATTCAGTTGGATGATGCTGAAATTGAAGCACATTTACTTGCTGGTACAATAAATTTAGAAAATCACAATCGCATGATAAGTAAGTATCCTTTCAACTTGTTTTCTTTTGTATTTTCTCTATAAATTACTTTTAGCAACGACACCGGCAGCATCAGCAATATCGCCATCAGCAAAACGCATATCAGCCGTGTCAACTCCATCCAATATAAAACCCACATTACAGCCAGTGAAAAAAATGGTTGCTATGTTTGATTATAATCCAAGTGTGAATTCTCCCAATATTAATCCCGATGAAGAATTATCATTTCGTTCGGGCGATATTATTTATGTACACGGAAACGTTCAAGAGGATGGTTTTTATTTTGGTGAATTAGAGCATGGAGGAAAAGGACTTGTACCATCAAATTTTCTCAAAGAAGTATCATTACTCAATTCAGATGAAAATATTATTCAGCAAGATAACGAGCAAATGATTACCAATGAAAATAAGGTAAACTAAAACATTATTTTTACTCTGATTATGCTAATGGATTCTTTTTTTAATTCTATTTTGCATTTAGAAATCACCATATTGTCGGTAGGTTTATTGTTTTTATGTTCGCACTTCTCTATCGGTTCCTGACTAGTTTATTTAAAAATCAATTGTTCCCGTGTCCAACTCTTATTCGTCAATTCATTAAGATAAATACAACGATAAACAGAGATACCCGGAGGATGTTAACTGTTTCTATTGTTCACCTACGCTCTATTTAACTATATTCGATTTTGATACCTTCATACAATACAGCTGAGACTAGGACACTTGGCATTGTGTATTGAAGGCGTCAATAGTTCATCAATTGTAAAACTACGCATGAAGAGCCGATAGCAATAAGTCTAATGTTAGATCCAGATCTACTATGTAGAAAAGCTCGTGAATATGAATTAGTCATCATCATCATCATCACCAGAGATACATACATTTTATAGGCAAGACTTGTAGTTTTTATTCTCAATGGTCTTAACTGGTAGACTAATAAGAATTGTACTTGGAAGCTAGTAAAAAAATCGGTAGATCCCCAGAGCGGAAATAGTTAGTATAGAAAAATCTATTATAATTATCAATTGGGGAGACGCATGAATTAATTTTAGCCCCATGTTTACTCAAAAGGTTTTTTTAATCTGCATTTTTTATTTGCTTTCTTTGCTCTAGTGGCTCTCATCAAGTATAAATTAAAAGAATATTTCAAAAATATCATTCACATTCTTATGAATCGATCAAAAACAGATTACCTACCAAAAGAAGAAAACTTTATTTGATAGACTAGAAACAATACATTAACTGGAAGTTTTTAATGATTTATTGAAACAGTGAAACAAATTATCTTATTATTGGAAGAAGAAAAGTACTCAGGTTTTGTTTTCTTTGTAGCTCTTTTTTTTTGTGGAACAGTCAATGGAAAGCAAACAGTGTCTATGTAAATGTGTATTGTTCCGGTAGTGTATACCTCTCCATATTTTTATTCTATTCGTCTAACATTTTTTTTTTGTATATAACTTATCCGATGATTAAAATTTTTTGTTTTTCTTTAATCGTTATATTCCAATTTTGTTGTTTTAAATTTATTTTAAAGAAAAGAAGAATAATGACAAAGAGAATTTGTACAGTTCTTTTATTTTATTCGAAAAAAAATTCTATTCATTTTTCATTTGGATTTTGTTGTACAATGGTTAAATGCGGATCATAACTGTGAACTATGTTTTGAAATAATGTTGGAAAACGTTCGGGCAAAAGAAGACGTTCAACGTAAGATGGAGCATTATAGCGAAGTGGAACTTCAGGAAATGAAACCAGAACATAACGACTAAAATAAAAAGAGAGTACAGTTTACTTTTGGTAAGACTTCGTTAAAAACAAAAGTATGATTAACCTGCATTTCGATGGTATCGAAACAACACGTTGTCCCCCAACAAAAAGAGGTAACTCAGACGTCTCCGGTTCGATGGATAAAGGGCTGCAGATGGGTGGAGAACTATAAAATAAAATAAAGCTACCTTTTGAGTATTCTGCCACTATTGTTAAAAGAACGACTAATAAGATTGCCCGCTTTTAAAGACATTTGTTTGTGTTGTATTAGTTAAGCAGTGAGTTTTTAATATAAAAAAAAAAGCAATTAAATCTTTTGTCGATATTAATAATAGCTTTTGTTTTTGACAGTAGTCAGTAGAAATCGAATTACATATCTAATTTTCTAGGTTAGAATATTTACTAGACGAACCCCGGCTTTATAGTTGGCTGTGATAAAGATGAAATTGTTGCTCTGGAAGAGTTTAATTTTGATCGTTGTCGAGAAAACGAGAGTTTTGAAGGTGTTCGTTGTCGAACTAGAACTTGTGAACCAGTTAAAACAGATGAACGACTCGATTTTTGTGGCTGGGAGGAATTCATAGTTGAAATTGATATATTTGATTGAACAATCGGATCTTTTCTATTATTTCCATTTGTAACTACAAGTGTTGGTGACAATGGAACTGTTGACAATGATGGCTTTGATGACACCGGACGTTGAAGTATTTTGGGTTTTGCTTTTCTTTTATTTAAAATTTCGTGAGATTCACTGGGAATATCTCCAAGAAAAGTGACACTTTTAACAAGTGGTGAATCACACAAGTCGTCTTGTTGGGTTGATGAGGATTTATCCGATGAATTCAGTGGCATAGGAATAGCTTTTAACAATGAATGACTAGTATCTGTTGGAGGTGGTGGCAAATTAATAATAACATTATTATCAGTTCTAATTCGTACTGATCGCTTCCGTGTTGTTGTTTGATCATTAGAGGTCTGTTGTTGTTCGCCATGACCTATATATTTATAATATGTTAGAGATAAATCTTATTTCATCGAGACATACATACAAGCCAACTCTGATGTACTCCATTGTTCACGGCTAACAAAATGTTTGCCATTGAAAAGATTTGTTGAACTAGCTGTTAAATTATCTTGTGATGATGAAGGCGTTTGTTCCGTTGAAATACGTTTTCCTTATAGTTAAATAAAATTTACATTCATTTTTCTTTATCAAGCGAAATTCTTTTCATTTACCGGTGACAATTTGTCGTTGCATGTTATCAAATTTAAGATCATTGGAGTAATATAATCGAAATAATTCTTCAATATCATTTCTTGATTGAGCCATACGTTGTGTGAAACTTTTTTTATTTGCTGACTGTCGGAATAGTTTCCTTCGTAAAATGACCAATGGTGTTGTTGTACTTGTAGCACTAGTTGATTTAGTTGCAACTGACAGTGATCCTGACCACCGTGATGTTGATCGACTTGGATCTCCCATTGTCTTAGACGAGAATGATAATACTGATTAACAGCAATGTTGATCAAACCAAAAGTAAAAGAAAAAAACTCTCGACGATATACTTGATAATATTTTTATTTCATTGAGACCTTCTCACTATGCATACATACACCTATTCGATTGCCTTTTGTAGTTTTGTAGTCAATGATGGGTGTAGATGTTGACTTTTCTTTCAATATCTAATCAATGGATAAACATAAGATTTTTCTGTCGACTGGATTGTGTAACCCAACGTCGAAGATAATCATAAGTCAACAACACACATGCGTACGCTTGGCTTCTTAGTTTCGATACAATGCGAAGAAACACATTTGATCGTTGACGAACCAGATGAAAGAGAGAGAGAGAGAAAAGAAAAGAGTGATTGATTTTTTTACTCCATATCGCTTTGCCTTGTTTTATTTTGTTTGCACAGTTGGTAGAGTAATGGCACTGCTGCAAGAGATCCTTCTGTTTCTCTTCTTTTCTTTTCTTTTACTTTTTTCAAATTGCATGAAGTAATTCGGCCGCTCAAGTATTCATGATGGCAGTAGCATGTTATTTTTTTATACCAATCAGTAAAATCAAACACGCAAAAAAATATAAAGAAGGAAACAATCATTATTTAGCAATAACAGAGAAAAGAAAGTAGCATTCTTATCAAGTGTGAAAGTTATTCAAAAACAAAAAGTTGTTTTTGTGCTTAATTTGAGAATTAAGTTTGAATATTTTAAATTTAACGACAAGTGTAATTGTCAGCTTAATACTTTTCATTCGTTCTCGAGTAATAAAATCAATGAATCTCGAGGAACGAAAAAAAAAAGAGTTTTGTAATTCTGATTGTTTTAATAAAAAATATATATGATTTCCTACTATGTCATTGAATTTTTATTGATGTAACTACGTTTCATCTTACGATGAATTAGTTATAAAAGAACGACAAATTTGATAGGGATTTTCGATAATAAAAATTTATATTAGATTTCTTTTTGTTTTCATTTTTAAACTTGATCTTATAAGGATAATAGTAATCCGGTGAGACATTGCTGACAACGTCAAATTATTGGATTAGTGTCGGCAATTTAAAATTTGAACACACAGTTTTTGTTTGTGGCTAGACGCCGTTGACTTGCCATTAAAAATAATATTTTTGACCCATTTTAACGATGTTTTTACAGTAGAAATCAAATTGAAAAGAAATCAAACACGTCTATAAATGTTGAAATGTACCAAAAACATTAAGTCTCGGTGGCAGCAATATTTGTCCGCACTGTTTTGTTAACTCTATTCACCTTGCAGTTAGGAAAAAATATTTATTCTTTTGGAAAACTATTGCTTGATAATGAATAAAATCAATTTTTCGATACGATAATGAAGAACTATAAACATGAATTTGCATTAACATATAAGACTTCAACTATAAAAGAATCGCATATTTCGAGTCAGGTCACAAATCTGCATCGAATAGTTTGCGTTGTACTGAAAAAAAAAATAATTTTTTCCTTAGTATAAATGAAACGAAAGTTGGGTCATAACATTAACGTTAAATTAAATATTTTAAAATATAGACTCAAGTGTATTTTCTGTTAAATTCAAATAGGATAGCTATGTTTCAAAGAATTGTCTTCATACTTATTCTCGGCTGGTTATTTTTGTTTATTCGATTCAACGAGGAAGGATCACATCTAGTTAAATTATGCGGATCTCATAGAATGTATTCGGTTAGTGACTAGTTTCGTTTTAGTGTACGAAACTATTCTTTTTGTAAAAGATTTTCAATGCATGATTTCTTGTTGCTAGAATATGTCATTATCCTGAACTCGTCGTTACCCGCTAATGTTACTGCCGGAAATGTGACTTGGGTCCTAAAAACTAAGTGCGCTAAAATGTTTATCTCTCTTTGTTACATCTAATTACAAAGTGATGTAAGAGATGAAACAAGCACACTCTTTCCCCGTCGGAGTTTATCACATAAAAAAAAAAATATTATATTTTAACATTACACACAGATTGAGAATGGCATCTAAACTAGAGCTCATCGAGTTCAAGAATATCTGGACCCGGGACCCGAACGTTGTGATCATTTTTTTAGGCTCGGAATTTAGGGATATTCTTAAAACTCTTAATGAATTTTTCTAATCTGATTCTAATTACTGCTTCAAACATACGATACGTTGTTTTATTTTTTTCCTGTTTGATGAGTAGGATACTTCACATAGTCTTTTAATGATCCCATAGAGATTCTACAATAGCTAATTTCAAGTGGCCCCTACTCCTAACCGCTCAGCTTCATATACTTCTCTTGTAAAAGTTTGTCTAATTCTTCCTTCTAAATAATTGAATGGATTCATTCTTTTTTACAAAAATCAATATATCTGATTCTATGTTTATCTTACATTATATTTTGCTGTGTAAATGCTTTTGTACAGATCAACGAGAGACATGATGTTTATTTTTTTATCAGATCCAGCTTCATTTATATCTGTCTTAGAATGTCTTGAATTTCGACTTGAAATAAAGGAATGAAAAGAAAAAATATCATAATGTTGTTCTTTCACGTAGACTTGAACAGGTTAATAATAAATTACATTGATCTAATGAAATATTAAAAGAATATTCTGATTTACAAAGAAATATCGATTCATTAATATCACATAATAAATAACTAGAAAATGATTTAGAAATTCGACAAAAAATAATATTTATTGACAAGAAAATGAAATTGAACAATTAAAACCGAATGAAAATCATCAAGAACGAGACGAAGAAATAAAGATGTTAACGATTTATTGTAGTTATATTTTAGCTGATCATATTGATAATAATTTCAATATTCAATCCTAATATCCTGCCATTTAATATTGTGTAAAGATCATATATATCTCAATTGTTCTTTTCGTGTTCATTCGTTACACATAACGATGCATCTGTATCTTACTTGACTGAATCCCATAGAATAATTACAGCAAAATTCCAATCAGTTGTATCTTAAATTGGGTTTCTTCAGTTGTGTGTAGCTAGTTTTCTAAAAAAACGGTTTATTAATTCTGAGATAAAATAACAAAAGATTTAGTCCAATTGACTTGAGACTGTAATAATTCTTGCTTTTGTGCTATCGTTTTCTAATTTTTATTTAAATTTTGTAGTAGCTCTATGCACTAGACTCTTTATTTAGAATATTCACATGAGACTAGTTTTGTTTCCAAACTGAACTAAAATCGTCTCCAAACACTTCGTTTCTCATGAAAATGTTTTATTAATTGCATAATTTGTGTAATCTATGCGTAAGATCTATGAATATTTAATGATAGAAGCATACAAAAAAGATTATACAATTCAGTTTGATGAAGAAAGTTGTTCTACTGGATATTGTAAAACCGATTTCTCTTTGATCCATTTTAAATTATTTGATCGTTCGAAAAAATAGCGTTAAATCGATATGTATGATATATAATTACATTAAATAAAAAAGAAATAAAAAATTGATCATTCAAGTATTTCAATCAAGCGCCAAATAAAAAGCAATTTTAATAATCATTTCATATTTTCTTTTTTTTTTTATTTAAAACAAACAAGATGTTAACAATAGCCGTGTATAAATGAAATGCATAATAGCACAATTTTCTTTTGTTGATGACATTTTGTGAAACAGTAAAAAAGACGAAAACAATCAAGAATAACAATAACAAGCATTCATTTCTGATTTTGAAGTAGATTTATTGTTGGACCATTTCCAGTAAAGTTAAAGCTTGTTGGTGGTCCAGCAGCAGCTGATTGTGAAAAGTTGTAACCGCCAGCTTCACGAATTTTATTTGATTCTAAAATATTCGAATTAAAAGATGTTGAGAGCATGAAAATAAAATTTACCTTTTTCTTGTTTTCTTTTTTCTGTATAATGAATGATATTTTGTATATGCACACGTTGCTCAGGTGTAACACTTTGTAATAATGCTTGATTATAGCCAGTTGTATCCGCTTGAAGTTCTATCGAATAAGAAATAATTATAGTTTTTCAAAATTCACAAAAAAGATATTAGATTTTTGAATTTTATACTTTGTAAACTTTCACAGAATATTTGAAATTCATCAATATCTTCATTAGCTTCAAGTATAGTTGAATATGATTCAAGATCAGTTTCATCTATATCAAAATCGCTGCCTTCATCGTCGTCATCGTCATCATCACCATCAAGTCCATCACCAGACATTTCATGATCAGACGCCTTTAATAGAAGAACGAAATAAAACTGTGTCTTTTTGTTTCTATGAAATTTCTACTTTTTTAGAAAGTTTTTCAAGAAAATCATCTTCATGTTCGATAGTTTCATCTTCACCATCTTCAATATCTACAATTGAACAAATCGATTCTTAGATAATATTTTATTATTTAGATTTTACCGCTGGCTACTGAATCATCATCATCATCATCGTCAGTCTCATCATCACTATCTTCTTCTTCATTATGTTGATAAGTTTTCATCAAACCATCATATATTTGAATACAATTAGGTAATATTTTGGGTACAATACTCGATATGGCTGGATAATAAGTAGCATCAATACGAAGTAGAGTACACAGACCGAGCGCACAAACACGACGATCATGAACACCAGCAAATAAAGGACAATCAGTCATCCATTGGTTAAAAAAATTAGCTATTATTGTTTGTGTACTTGGATCATTTGTAGCAACAGTATTCAATGTTTGAAAGAATCGATCAGGATTCAACCATAGCATCACAATAAATACTTGAATTAGCATTAGACGTAATTCACTAGTGATGATTTTACGTTGAAAACGTGTAGCAATTAATTGAACAATTGCAGGAAGAGCCTTGATGACGGGAAAAAAAAAGAGAAGGAATGATGAATTGGAACATTTTTTCAGCTAGAATATCAATACTTACAACACTCATGTGATCTTGACATTGAAAAATAACAACTTCCATAAGTTTACCTGCATGTGCCTCGGAATCTTCACCCAAATCATTGACTATGACCTACAGAGAAAATAAGATAAAATCATTTGACGAAAACACATAATTATTCAATTGCTAAATATTAGTTTAGATTAAATTTTGATTTAAGATAGATATCGATATGAGATGAAGGAACAATTAAAAGGATTTGTATCTATCATCCATTGTTGAAGAGTTATAACTACCCTAATGTGCTCAAAATTTAGCCTAAGTATAATTTTGAAATGATCAACGAAAACCGAACATGTTTTCCATGAGATTCTCTTTCGAAAATAACAGATGTTAAGTACAAGAGCATATCATAGCTCTGCCAATTTAGATATTGAATATCTTGATAAAGAAAACAACCCGGTATTTCCGAAAGTTCTTTGGTCTCATTAAGACTTCTACGATTTTTCTTAAGCAGTAAGTCATATGCACGAATCTTGTTTGAGATTGTTTTAATCGTAATCGCTTCTTGGTCGTTTTCTCAACCTTGTTGCGTTCAAAACGATTGATGAGAGAAATATTTGTCAGGAAAAGATGGCAAATATTTTGATGCGCGTCCTTTGTGTATCTTTCTATCTATTATTCTGGCATATTATAGTTAACATTTTTTCCCCATTACACCAAATGACATACGCTGATACTATTTGCATATCATCGAATCTCAATGGACATTTCTACAGTTCTCTTGTTTATAATAAAATCAGATCGATAAAGTTTTCCATTTGATTTTCTATGATAGAACTACTTACATGTTTACACATTTCAAAAAGGATTTCAAGTCGATCATGTTGCGATACCAATCCTGGAGTATCATTGACAACATAATTATGCAAACAATTCATAATTTCTTAATTATAATAATATATGTTAATCGAAAATAAAAACAATAACTATGTTCGATATTCTCTTACCGGCAAAGTAATCAGCAGCGTCACGATAGAATGCTTCTTTAATTAAATAAAATGCTTGCCACATTACTGGACTAACTGTATTTATTGTTAAAGTATCAATGAGTGTTAAGATTTCTTCATAGAAATCTAAAAATTCACAGAAAAACAAAAATCCATAATTCGCGTTGAGCTCATAAACAAAAGAATTTTGATATTTACCAAGAATACCATCACGTAGTACTACAGCAATGATTTCAAAAATACTTTGTTCGATTTGTGCAAGGATCTAATTTGAAACAAATATTCTTGAAATTCTATGCTGATAATCTTCAAACTATTTTCTTACTTCTGGCTTGTCTCCCATACAACTAACAATAGTATCCAATGTATTTAAAACGCCCATAGCAGCAACAGTTTTTTCTTCTGCTTTTGTTTCATCGCTTGGTGTATTTTCTGAAGCAATAACATGTTTAAAGAATTCTACTAATTGCATTGTCATTTGAACAGCAATAGGTTGTAAATCTTGATCGAATAAGCCGACAATTTTTTGTAAAACAATCATAACATCATCAATTTCGGTTTTACGTATTATTTCAATAATACGCATAACAATTATTTGTAGATGTGGGATGATGATTGCTTTATCTTTTTCACTAGCCTCTGTATCCGATAAAAATAAATTTAATGCCATTGCTGCTTCAATTTGTACCGGTAATGACGTATCATTGCATAAACAGTGTATTAAATTTGTTAAGCAACGTGTTGAATTCTCTGGATTAGTATATTCAAGCTTCGAAAAATTTCTCAATGCATAGCAAGCACGTGCACGAAGATAGGCTACTGGACTTTGTAATTCAGGAAATAGATATTGCACGATGATATGTTCTAATTGATTAGTAAAAGTTTTCTTCTTTATAAGAACATTTCCAATAACACCTAACATATGTAAGACACCATCCTTTTGTTTTGGTGTAATTGTATCATTATGAATAACTGTACCAAGAAAATTAACAGTTTTCATTAGAACATCTTTTCGTTTGGCTACTGCATCCGATAAAAATAATTCAGCAGCTGAAACTGGACTTATATATTCGTCAAGAATATCTAAATGAAATTAGATTATTAAGTAGAACTAAATTTTTCCTGAAAACATCTTTATAGGACATACCAAGACGTGCACGGACAAACTCAACTGGTTCATCTTCAAATAATTCAATGTCATCATCATTAATACATAATAATGGATAAATAATATCTTGAATCAATACAACAACATGATTTTGAACAATTTTCCATGAAAATGCATGGCGAACACTAAAAGAATAAGATAGACAAATGGAAAATCATTTTTCTTTCTCAAAACTACCTTTCACGTAAATAATTAAGGCAAAGTTGAACAACACGTGGTGAAACATAAACTTTTTGTCTGTATGCTTCGAGAATAGCAAAAATAAGTTGTATGACCTTAGCTAAAATAGAGAACTATAGAAATGAAAACTAAAATTGATTAAACTTCATACCTGAATAACCTTTCAAGAAAAAATTAGCAAATTCAACTTTTTCATGCGATTGTCCTTTAGGTAAATTAGCTGGTGATCCATGTCTAAAAAGAAAAAAAAATTATAAAAAAATAATATCGCACGATTTTCATCTTCTACCTTTCGAATGTTCGAAGAAGAATATGTAAAGCCCATTTTTTGCATTTCCACCATGGATGTTCAGCTCGATCATCTTCATCGAGTGCATCTAAACGTTCAGGTAAACGTCGTTCTAAAACCATACAACATGTATCAAGCCATGAGCCCATTGTTTGCGTTGGCAATACTCGAAAACTTAGATGAAGCTAAAAGCATGACACATTTTTATGAATGAAATCGCACATACAGGATTCTGTTTTATTTTTGTTTTCACACATGAATCTATTAGGAATATTGGCCTCTTTCAATATACAGAATTTTTCTTGGCTATCATATAGCTTGAAATTTAATACTCTAGAATGAATATATTCTACTTCGGATGAAAATGATTTTCACTCAGAAGATTTTTCATTTCGATCGTTATGAATAGGCATTGAGTAACTTGTCTTTATTATTGAAAACAAGCAATAATTAATGATGATGGCAAAGTTAATCATAAAATTAAAAGAAAAAACAGTTTTTTCCACTTAAGTAAAATAGGATGATAATTTTTTATACATTGTATAAAAATAAAAATTCAATAGAATTAACTTATAGTTAACAAGTTTTTCCGAATGTGTTGAGCATTACCTTCCGAAATATCACATAGAACATTATTTTAGTATTTTAATTGAAACTTATCAAATTCAAAATAGTTTTGAATCGTTCTGTCTTTTAAACCAAAAAGCAGCTCGCAATTCACTGATTTTAAATTGAATTGTAGGGTCTCCTGAGATACAAACTGAAAGATGCCTTTAAACTCCGCTACAATAGGTTTTCATAAAATCTATGGATAGTCATTCGATCTTATCCTACAAAGAAAACCCAGAGACATAATCAGCAATACCAAAAACAACTATGATTCTCAATTGAACCAATAATTTTTATAAATAATTAAATTATCTGCGCCTCGATTTTTCTATTCTAGGTTTTATATATAAACATCATCGTATGAATTGAAAAAGATAAGAAAAAAAACTATAGAAGACGTCTTCTCATTGTCTACAATAAATATTATCTTAAGATTGTCATCTATGAAAATGAATCCGTAAAATATAAAATTCAATGTTTCAAATAATAGAAAACACCAACATATATTAATTAAGTATATACCTGAATATAAGCATGAAAAATTTTCAAAATTGTTTTTTGTGACAACGCTGATTGATCTGAATCATTGTGAGCAAATAATTGCATTAAACGTTGATGAAGGAGTGGTAAGATAACAAGCATAACATCATCCATCGGACCACGATCTTCGGATTTTTTATATCTAGAATCCTCTTCGATTTAAAAACCATTGTCAACTATTATGAAAAATGCATACTCATAATGCTGCACAAGTGCATAAAAAACCAACAGAACGCTATTCCATGTTTCGATATTGTCCGTTGAAAGACATGCATGAATTTGATTAATAAATTGCGGCCATTTAGATGGAAAATCACATTTAATTAGTGTGCCTGCTGCTGTAATCAGTTGACATCTTAAATAAAAATGTAGCTAACTTTACAAAAAGATATATGTCAAAAACAGATTTTTTTGCTCAACCTTAGCGGATCTTTGGTGCGTAGTATCGCATCAATAAGAATATTTCGTAAATAATCTTTATCGGCATCAGATATAGGAGAAGCTCTTTGCGGATGATCGCCATTTGTTTTCGAGACATCAATGTTTACAGCACTTGCTAATGCAAGAATGTCAGGATCAGCTGTTGCACTCGGGTCGGTTCCATCAGGCCAATTTGTGTTAACATAGTTTTTTAAGTAGATAGCTCCTAAGAGAAAGAGAATTCGTTTATTAATTTTGTTTTATTGAAAGCATTAAACAATTCAATACCAGCTTGTCGAGCACCCATATCACATTGTTCACTGAGAATAATTTGAATGAGACATGGGATAAAACCGGGTGTTTTAGAGAACTAAAAAGTACCACTTTTTTAAAGTAACAGTTTAGAACACAATAGCATACTTGAGCAAGTTTTTCTTCGGCTTGCTGACGCAATTGAGGCGCAAGTGTAGCTTGAAGTGATTCGATTACTGGAGCAAGATCCATCTTGTGTGCTGCTCTAAAGATATATCTAAGGAATAATTATAAATAATAGAAGAGAAAGGTCAATATTAATACGATCTAATTGCATAAGAAAGGCTGGATAGTTAAGAATAAAATACAATAGCTAACTGGTTGCATTTTCTTGCGATTAAAAATTAATTCTTGGAAATTATTTTTTTCAAGATATTTGTATTTTTCAACATTATAAGAAAAAAGATAACGTTTTTTTGATATTTTCATTTCTATATAGATGTCACTTTCATGACTCATAGGTTCTAGCCAGCTGTTCTCTCTCGAGGTTCGACTAGTTATATTGCTTGCTTGCTTGCTTTATCTATCTTCCATTTGTTTATATCTATTTACAACCGCTACGAATTTATGCTGTTGTTTGTACGTTCCAACGAGAGAAAAAGAAAAATCTATTTCAATTTTCTTTTCTATATCAAATATCGTTTGTATCAAAATACACTAATGATTTGATATCAGTTCGCTGTATTAATTTCTTTGTCTTTTTTTCATTTTTTTCAATGGAATACATGAAATCGAGTTTATAGCATTTGATTGTTTAGGTTTTTTCTTTGACACCGTGAATCATATAGATGACTCAGCGAGTTATTTATTTTCTGTGAATAATTCCTAGATCCAAGCAATGAGTTTCGGTTAATGATGGTCATAATTATAAAAATATCTATATAAACATGTACATATGAATAATCTCTCTCCTTCTTGTCGATTTTTTTCCTTTCTTTCACGTCAGACAGTAGCACAGAGTTCGTTGTGGCCAGAAGAGCAACTCTAGTGATGAGGGAATATATTAGTGCAGAGAATTTCTTTCCTGGTGCATGTCTTTTTTCTTATACGCACAACTGTCGCCACCACTACCACCACCACCTCCAAGCATCGTCTTACTGTTGTTATTTATTCGCTCTCTCTGTTTTTTGCTTACTTGGCTGTTTCCTTTTTCTCTGCCAGTATGTACTATTCTGCTATAGATATTCTAATAGATTCTATAATTTCAACCTTCGGTTTTTCTCGTACGAATACGAAGCATTTATCTTTACTTTTAGATTGTTAACTGAAGCCATTCTTTAGAAAAAAATATTTAAAATTTCTAATGGCAGGCTGGGACCAGTATATAACAAACTTGACAAGTCAAGGCATTACTCATGCCGGAATATTCGGTGCTGATGGATCACGATGGGCTGCGTCTCCAAATTTTCCGGTTTGTTTTATTCGTTTTTCCCCTCTCTATCATTGCTATCTCCTTTATGAAAATATTCTCCTTTTTTCTTTAGAATATTGATAATATTAGAGACGAATTGCCTAAAGCTTTTTCGTCATCACCATCAGGCATTTTAGTTAACGGTGAAAAATATATATTTATTCGTAGTGCAGAAAATTTTGCTATCCTTAGAAAAAGTGCTGATGGAATGGTTGTTGTGAAATTAAATCAAGGTAAAATAAATAAAAGTTATAACATGAAATAAAACATTTTCGTTTTTCTAAAAATTCCAGCTTACATTGTTTCGATTGGTGTTAATCAAAAACCTGAAATGATAATCGGAGCAACCAACAAAATGGGTGAATATTTAAAAAATTGTGGCTTTTAATTGTAGTCGTATGGTTTTCGTTTGTCCGGCACATTACTACATCATCTTTTGTTCTTTAAATTGAACTCCCTTTTTTTTGTCATTAGTGGTTTACGTGTGCGACTCATCATATTTGCTCTTTATTTCTCTCTCTGTCTCTCGATCTCTTTCTCATTTTTTCTATGTTAGTCAATGCTTATATGCTACTGCTTCGGTTTTTTTTCTCATTATTTTACTTATGCCTCTCTCTCTTCTTGAGAAACATACTTTCATAAACAAAGCAATTGATCTAATCAAGATCTTCTGTTTTTCTCTCCTGCTGTTTATCATCGCGCTTAGAGCATTTAAACTATCACTAATTTATAATCTGGTCTATTTTATTATTCGTTTGTTCATCACATATATATATATATATATACATGTATGCGCATACGAAGTTGAACGAAACGAAACTAACAAAAACGTTTATTCGTGCATTTTGTATAATTTTTGTTTCTCTCTCTCTCTCTCATTGACACTCCCACATATATATACATATGTGTAATCATACATAGATCTTCTTCTTTCTCTGTTTTATTTCTTCTTTATCTTTTTTTTTCTCATTCTGCGATACTTAACAGGATAAATATATAGATGAAATATGTCATGTTTGTAAAGTCGTCTGTCTTAGTTTTGAATGATAGAAACTTTGTGCGGCTTGTCTGGTGCTATAACTGTGCATTTTAAACATTATTTATGATTGTGGTTATGTTGTACCCCTGTTTCTGTCTCATCTTTTTCTTGTGTTAGTCTATTTGAGAGAGAAGAAAAAAAATCGAAGTTAAAATGAATCCTAGTTTCATTGAAGATGATAACAATCAGCCAAGAATATGAAGGCTAGTAATTGCAAATATTATGTGGCAATATATTTATACTTTTCTCTTATCAATTTATTGAATTTGAGGAAAAATCATAAATAATAATAATCATTTCGTATATAGTTATCTATCGAAGACAGACAGCCGCTAATAGGCTTGTATATGTAAAAAATAGGTATATATACGTAGGTGGTATTTTGCTTTCGTCATTCAGAATCTGCCATTATGGAGGCGATCCACAGAAGATTTTTTTCTGTTAACTTTATACGCCATGTTCTTATTAATGATAAGTATATCGTATCCGTAAGCGAACCCGAGCGAAAGTACAACGGCGAAAGATAACCCTACAATTTCCGTAATGAGCAAACCGCTAATCAACTCAAAAATATTAAAACTGCCCACGAATTCAACGATGCAAAAAACGATCGTACCACAAGCAGCATAGAACTGCTAATCGTGACACAGGCTATGTTTTCGCATGTTTAGTTATCAATAGCTAAGCTTGTAATAAGACGTGACATTTTAACTTGTATCATGCATGTTGCTCTCATAAATTTACTTAAGTTATTCAATGCTGTTTTTATTGAAGACTTAATCATTTTTTTATTCATATATGGGAACTACTCGAGGCTAGAGTAGCACCCTTCAAACACTAAATGATTGCCCTTAAAACATACTTCAATTTCTTCAGAAGTTCGATTTCTATAAAAGCTCAGATTGTTTGGATACAAGTTGACGATATATAAGTGACCTTTTGATGTTTATCACCAGACGCTAGTCTAGCAGCTATTTTACGCAGCCGAATGTAAACATAAAACAAACAAAAGTCATATAGAATATTTTCATGTTAGCATGCAACAACCGAGTGTTGCAAAATTGAAAATAAAATAATGAACATATAGTGGTCCAGGCAGTGCATTATTTTAAGATAGACTCATCATGGATTGGTCTTCAATCTATATAGGCCTAACACTACTACTTCGAATAGGTAGTATCCTCTTTCTAAGATAATTTCCGTTTTACAAATACAACATTAATTCTCATTGGAAACGTCTAAATCAATTCTGAAATTTTCGTTCTCATCAGTTAGTAGCGCGTACTGCTCCTGTCACAGTATATTTTGATGTCCTTGACTCAAAATTATTAAACTGTTCTGCGATTCGGTTTACTTTATCAAAGAAATGTGCCACGCATGGCATTCGATCTTCAAATTACGCACAAAGCTGATATTATCGTACATGGTAGATAATGATCCTTGTTACTGTGATGAAAACTTTGAAAAATGACTGAATCACTTAAAATATACTGGAAGCAATGATTTTCACTGGCAAAAGTCTACGAGACTTGATAGTTCAGATTTAATTTCCAAAATACATTAACTGTTAGGCTTTCACATCTATAGGCAATGGCTTGATGGAAGAGAATCACACTTGCTATTACTTCCAATTACTATACTAATAGTAAGGGGTTTTTAAGATGATTGACTATGCGTTATTCATCATTTCACGGTAATGATTCATACTTTTCTCTTACAGGCTACAATAATAGGAGAAGAGCACTTCTAGTGTGATTAATAGACTTCAGAGGTATTATTGTGTGAACTATTTTTAAATCAAGATCTATTATTTTTCTTGCATCCCTTTATATAATTGATTGTGAATCAAGTAAATACGATACGATGTACTGTCAAATAGTGTAGTATAAATTTTATTTCGTACATAAACTGATATCGTAGTAATCGTGTATGATATTCCTAATGGTGATTCACGATCATTGCGTTTTTAGTTACATCGAAAACTGGATTTAGAGAATGATGGCCCGAGTGCTGTTTATTGAAAGTTTCCTTTGCATTTCTCTTTTCACAGATGTATTCCAAATGCATCGACTGAGGTAGATTGAAAATTGCTATTCGCTAACAATATTGCTGTGATAGAACGTTATGTTATGTTACTCTTTCTTATCCTACTTCATCTCATTACATTACTATTTGAGATATTTTTAAGTATTTCAATAAATTTTATCCTATTTTGATGATTCACATCCTCTACAAACAATCCATACGAGAATCACAAACAGTTTAAAGGGACTATAGGTTACCAACATATGAAAACATTTTCCCATTTTCAATGAGAAATTGATGATGAGACCGAATATATACATATATACGGATTTCTTGAACTGCTTTCAGTTATAGATGTTAAAAAGTTTTCTTATACAATCGTTTAAAAATACTCAACATATTTATTACCAATAAAAATTTTATAGTATTTTTGTTGTCCTAGGTATAGTCGCAAGTGGAAGCGAATCAACAAAATAAAATGATCCTGTATTTTTATAAAATCAGTAATTTCGTCTATTTATTCATTTTATTTTTTTTTTGATAGTGTAATATGATTGAATATTACTCACAAGTATACTTTATGCGATTGATTGGGATTTCAAGTGAAAAATGAAGAAAAAAACTGTGATATCCAAAAAAGCTTCAATAATAATATGGGTAAGTACGTTATTAGTTACTTCCTATAACGCACCGAGTAATACATCAAATAAAAACTAAGCAAATAATATACTGAGAAAATATTTGAATGGCTGGGTTCCCTCTAATCTATCGGACTGTTAGAGATTTTGACAAGGTTATATAAATACACAAGCTATACATGTATGGACGGTATTTTACTGTCATCACTTAGACAAAACGACTATCGCACGAATATGGAAAGGAACACTTGTTGGATAATTTTTTCTTTTACATTCATGTTATTGATAAATATACCTGTCTCGAAAGTGGATGGCGAGAATACAACAATCGCCATTGTCTCTAACACGACTACTACAACGACTGTTGCCACGACAACGACCACTATCTCGACGACGACCACTACCCCGACAACGACCACTACCCCGACAACGACCACTACCCCGACAACGACCACTACCCCGACGACGAC